ATGGAGCATACTATTAGAAAATGAAAAAGAGAAATTAATCTAGGTGAGGAAAAAAAAACTGGACAAAAGGGGACAAAGCAAGGCAAACAATAATGTCAGTGGAAAACTTCAACTGGACAACAATTAATAAGTAAAGTATCGGGCAATATATATCACCTGCCAGCTTAATGATATGGCGAGACAGACCAGGCTTTTAACCTTGGATGTCAGCTGGTCTAGAAGGAATGCTCCAACAGGCAGACAGATAGAGCACTGCCCTTCTAATATCGCACTTTTGCAGCATGCTTTGTTCCAAACGTATTGGGTTACCCTTTCTTTGGTGTTAATCAAAACAGACTGAAAGGATGTCTTTCTGAATGAGCAACACGTGATATTTAGTACTGCCCAGGCTTTGTGTTAGGGAAAGAAAGAAGTTCACCTTGAGCCCTAATTGGTTTTGCCTTTGGTTGTGATTCCCACGCTCCCTAGAGGTCAATGAAACACAGACATCTGGAAAGATGGACAAGTACCAGTAACAACAAATGTCATCATCATCAGTGCTATGTTTGCTGTGGTATTGTTTTTCAACTTTATTATACTGTATAAAAATCATTAGAGTACCGTTGACCTAGAAGAAGAACGACATTCTACATAATCTGAGCATCGAGGAGAATTGGCTCATAAACAGCATCCTGGCCTGAAAGCTGTGGTGTTTAGGCCATGTAGAATGTTATGGTGACCTGGAGACAATGTCGATGGAGGATATAGTTTTCAAAAAATGAGGCAGAAGCAAAACTCTGCGAAGGTGGACACAAGACACAGGTGAGAGCCGTGATGAGAGTGACATTCAGTAAAGGACAAGCTGACTGATGATGATGATGACGATGATAATGATGATGATAATAATGCTGATTGTATGAAATGATGATAGCTGATGTTGATTTCATGGCATTTTCCCACAGAGAAACTGCATCATTGATAAGTCGCCCATAGCTCTGGTGAAGTCTCAGAAAAATGAAGTGGAACGAAATGGCATGCAGAGATCTCATGTTAGTGGCTTGTGTTTTCTTTCATGAAATATAACATAGTTAATTACAATTCTCACCCAGGTGATGTGATAATCTATACAGATGGCTCTGAGTTGAGAGGTAGACAAAGCTCATGGAGTTTCTTAACAAAAGTGAATGGACATCGCTTAGTGCAACAAAGCCTGGCATATGACACCACATCTAGTTTTTGAATGGAGGTTGAGGCTGTCACTGAAGCCTTTCGCTGGTTTGAGAATCAGCTGTACACTCATGTCATAATTGTAAACGACTCACATAGCATGTTCAGAAAGGTGGAGACCGCTATGCTCGTTAAAGAGTGGCAAAAATCACTTCAGATGTCCCAGACAGTTAGCGACCTTTGGATATTTCCCCCCAGAATATGCCGGTGTATTAGGAAATGAACAGACAGATTCGTTGGTTCTGCACAACTCAGTGGTGAACTGATGCTGTCAGGAACCTAGTTGTCTAGGGTTCGATTCCATTGGCTCCGCCAAAGGCTAATGACAGGAAAACACTGTTGACAAACACACCCAAGCAAAACACTGGTTGCAACACACACACACAATCTTTATTATCAAAGATACAAACAAAGTAGTGGTACTATTCAATAGGGTTAGCGCTCCTTATTCTGAAATCAGGCCGCGTCTAACTTTAAAATCGCTTAGAGGCGCCTATACACGTTCATGAAATAGGCTCTGAGCCGCTACCACTCTCCCGTACAGCGCCAGCTCAACCCGCTGTCTCCCGATGCCAAAGACGCTATAGCATACGCAGCGTTTGGCTTATAGTTACGACTACTGACACGGTCTAGCTACTACCTTAAATTGTGTATTACCTGAGATCTAACTAGAACACATGCTATCTACTCTGTAACGAATTAAATACAATTAATCACACTACGAACAGAACACGTTACAGCTAGTAACTACACTGGTACATTCCTACAAGTCAAAACGAAGGGTCACTAAATCTAGCACAATCTAAACTCTCGTCCCACGTCAAGCTACACAGCAGTCACACAAGTAAGCGTCAAGCGTCCGGTACAGAATGTCTAGAGTCCAGCCTGTCCAACCGTTTTGTTCTGTGCTACCGAGTTCACGCCGTGGTTGGTCAACCTTCGAGAAACCCGTTTGTCCTCGACCCAGCTACGCTTCGCCCATACGTTCATGCTAGTTTATACGTGTATATACACTTACTGAGTTGCACTAAGGGTCGCAAGGTACGATGACGAGATTAATCATCATCATACTGAACTGTCCCATAACAGGGCGAACCCTGACAGATGCATAACAAGCTAGATGTTGTTAGGGCCCTTTTAGGACGAGTGAACAGTGCAGAAGCATGGAGGGATCCTCATGGTCTGAAGATAATGATCCTCCTAGGAGTTACCATAGGAGTGGTCGAGGATCAGCACTCAAAGCAAAAAGTGAAACAAATCTGCAATCAGACCCCTATTGGTGCCACTGGAGTTGAAACTGTGCGTGCTGCTAAAGATGGGGACGGAGCACCTATGGGAATTTCCGGAGTGCAGTGATGTTGATTCTTAATTAAACATTAAACATATACATAAACCACTGATTTTGTAGATTTATGTTGCTCCAATTTTATATAGAATAAACCCTCTGCTCCCTAACAAGCATGTCATAGGAAGCTACTAATTCGGGATGTTTCCATTGAATTCAGAGTATCTACCTGACAGAAAGGAACCATTCTGCATACCAATCAGTCATATCTGTTAACATGGATTTGCACACAAAACTCAAGTTTGTGAATAAGACAAAAGTTTAGAAGCGAACACACAACTAGAACTTTCCACTCGAGTTTACAGCTGGTGAAGAAGAAGAATATCAGACAATAAGAATGTATTTAGTTTATATTTATGTTAAGTAATTCTATATTTAAGCATTTTCAGTACGCAAGCTCAAACTTTCATATTTACTTTGCTATTTTTGAATGATGTAGCGTAGCCATCGCTTGAAAAAATGAACTCTTGTCTCCACTTTATTTTTGCTGTGATACTCTGGCTATCTCATCACTTCTGTCGGTCTCACCCTTTTACTCTCACTTCCTCTTACCTTTTTTTTTTCGCTCTACCATTTATCTTCCAATAAGAATGTTATTTTCATAAAGTTTGTTTCTTCTATCAACTCATTGTCTCTTATCTCTCTTTTTCCTCTCTTTATAAGCTCTTATGTGTGTTTCTGTTTCACTGTTTATGGGATTGTGAATACACATGCACACACACACACACACACACACACACACACACACACACACACACACACAAACACACAAAATATGCATACCACAACCAAAATTGAATGGCAAATTGAAAAGTTCTTCGGCTGGTAGATTATTGTTTTGCATGAAACTAAAACTTGTGTGTTTGCAGATATAATTATCTTATATATCTCAGTTAGGTTGTTTTTTTTCCCCCTTTAAATTTGACGGAAATACAAATTTAGCAAGAGTTGCCATATAAAAACATTGTTTACTTCCGAAAAGTTTCTGCCTTGCAGAATATTAGGAAAAACAAATAACAATTAAAAAGGTATTCTGTTTGACACTTCTGGATTATAACGTGGATATGTACGAACATTTTTGTTTCCTTTCCTGTTTTTGTATATTTATGTTTCTTTATTACATTTAGCTGTTTAATATAGTATAGATTATGTGTCATAGTCTGATTATAAATAATATGTGTTAACTATAACAGATTATCGATTAAGTGTTTTAGTTATAATATATCCAAAGTGTAACATTAAAAAAATTGTAATAATCAGATAGTGTTACAACGTTTTTCCTGTGATTGTGTACTGTTTAGTCTTTTCTTGCGCCTTTTTAGAGGTATCTGTTTTTAGCATATTTTCCACAGCCATAAGCTTATTTCAGTGGCTCATAGTTTCACTTATAGTTGTTAACAATTTAAAGAATTAGCTGAGATGAAGTTATTTCACCAACCTAACAATGTCCTGCCTTCAACAAATTAATGTTGTTCTTCATCAGAATAGAGATTCTGCTGCTCTCATAAAGTTCCTCGCCTTTATGGAAAATGAGGTAATGGTTTTTGTTACTGTTTCTTACAATTGTTTAACTGTGGCTGTTTACTGTTGAAACAACTAATATGTTTAATTCTGGACAGCAACAAGTCCATGAAAGTCTCTCGGTTCTATATTAATGTCTTACCCCTAGATGACATCACAGGACAGTCTAACATTTTAGAGGGTGGTAAGACTGGGTTTCCCGGCTTTCTGATACTTTTAACGACCCCAAAACATCTAGAACTGGCCCTAACCCCAACCCACCTACTTCCTACGAGAGAGTGCAGCCTAGGTCCTATGACTGCATGCAGCCTATCTACCACCCCCTGAAATTTTAGACTGTCTGTGACCTGTGGATTTCTCCTGTTTGGGGTAGGATATTAATAAAACACCAGCCCCCTCCCCCCCCCCTAATGACAGCATGTTGTTTAAAGAACCCAACTAACTGGCGGGGGTTCTTAGAGGTTAAAGTTAAGAGGATCGACTTCACTGCACAGGGTTTTATGCCATAAGGTTAGACCTCTCTGCGGAACAGCTAGCCGCCTGCCGAGAACGTCGCACACAGCAGGAACTCCGTATGGGGAAAGTGGGAGCGAGGGGGGGGGGTGGATGGGGTTCCTTTGAAGTCGGAGCGCATCTGCCTGAGATGTGAAGAATGAACCGCTAGATCTGTAAAACGGATGTGCATTCAAGACTCCAGAACTCAGGTTTTAGAACAAGACCACAAAGTCTAGCAGTGGAAAAAGAAACAAAACAACAACAACAGAACTGTCGGCGCTGGAGTTTACAGCAGATGAACGCTCACAAGAAAAAACAGCTTGCCAGGATGCAATCCCATCATCATCTTCATCATCATCATTATCATCATCATCTTTATTATCATCATCATCATGTAGCAGGTCCGTTACAGAATTTCACTGTCAACACAGTCCACATGACAGAAACTTCCTCGCCACTGATGATGCAATCCCAGAAAATGAACATTTTAAAACAAAATCATGGCCACAATCCTGCTGGATAAATATACCAATAGTTCTCACAGCATACTTGTTTAGGTTGTTCATGCATATATACATATATATTCTTTTAAAATACTATGGTCATTACATATATATATATATATATATATAAATATATATATATATATATATATATATATATATATATATTTATATATAATGTATATATGTATACACACACATTAACCGTAGTATTTTCAAAGAATACTTGTATATGTATAAATGTATTCTTTGAGAATAATATGGTCTTTATACACACACACACACACACACACACACACACACACACACACACAATAACCATTGTATTTTCAAAGAATACTTTTACATACATATGTATTCTTTGAAAATAATATGGTCATTACACACACACACACACACATACACACACACACACACAATAACCATTGTATTTTCAAAGAATACTTTTACATACATATGTATTCTTTGAAAATAATATGGTCATTACACACACACACACACATACACACACACACACAATAACCATTGTATTTTCAAATAATACTTTTACATACATATGTATTCTTTGAAAATAATATGGTCATTACACACACACACACACATACACACACACACACACAATAACCATTGTATTTTCAAATAATACTTTTACATACATATGTATTCTTTGAAAATAATATGGTCATTACACACACACACACACACATACACACACACACACACAATAACCATAGTATTTTCAAGAAATACTTTTACATACATCTGTATTCTTTGAAAATAATATTGTCGTTTTATATATATATATATATATATATATATATATATATATATATATATATATATATATATATATAAAAACGACAATATATATATATATATATATATATAATTATCCTAGAGATGACCCTCAGGGTTAAACAGGAAATTATTGACAAGTACCGCTATGTTTGAATTGATTATTTTGTCCTTTTATTGTGTTTGTGTTGCTTGTGCTTCTCTGAATCCTCTCTGAAAGTTCTACAATATAAATAGAACACAGCTTTACAAACGTTGGTTCAGTCCATTCACGTTCCTGTGGTGCTCTTACATATCGCATCGAGATCACAGTCTACTTCTTCATTTCATTTAATTCTGTGCAATCACTTCAGTATCATCGATGGAAGCTAGTCGGGCGACTTTGGTTTCTTTCATCAACGTTCTCTTTAGGGATTCTCTTGGACGTCATCTCTTCCTTAGCCCCTCTGTTTCCCATTCCAGTGCCTGTTCGGTGATTCTCTGCCCGTCTATTCTCTGAATGTGTCAAATATCGCGCCACTGATTCAATTGCATAACAATAATTGTATATGATTTGGTCGTGAAGATCACATCAGGAAAGGACTGGACAGAGGTCACGGCAGCAGCCGAACTGGATGGCAGGAGGAAGTAAGCTTTTTATTATTTTTTACATTATTCAGACTAATTACTGTTCCCACCATACAGCTACACGGAAACCAAAACAGCTCTAAAGCATTCTTTCAGCGAGGAGTGGAGAAGGCAGAAAGGAGACTACAGAGAGTGACAGCATAAACAACCTCAACAGGAAAGAACAAACATCAATTTTTAAGCTTCGGACAGGACACTGTGGTCTTGTAGCACACCTGCACAGGATAGGCATAAAAGAATCTGCTGCCTGTTATTGTGGAGCAGAAAGACAGACTCCTGAGCCCATACTGCAGAACTGCTCTGATTACTTCCAGCAAAGATTGTGGATCTGGCACAAGGTAGCCACACTACAAGAGAAGCTGGGGTGGGGTGGGGGGTGGGGGGGGGGGAGGCTGCACAAACCTATTTGTGACCCAGACGGGGCTGAATATTTAGCATGGCTGATGTCGACCGCAGAAGAAGAAAAAGATTATTGTTCCCATCTGCGTTTTGCATCCCATTCAGGGTAGAGAATAATAAATCCATTGCACCTTAACACTTTCAGTCCCCTGGCAGGTGTTGCGTTAACATTTTCTCTCCTTGGTACCCTAAGTAATAAATGTGTAGGTATGATGGGATAAAAGAAATAACTATATGAGACAAGAAGACTTAAAGAAACAACTGGAAAAGGGTGGGTTAGATCCCAGCATCGGGCCATTCGCCTTGCGTTGGTTTCGACTGTGGTATCAAGAAAGCCGACCGTCCAGGAAGCAATGGCAAACTACTGGACGTAAATTTGCTTAGAAAAACCACACAACAGCCAGGGTCTGTTGGGGTTGGTTCTCCAACGTCCTGTAAAGGATACACAATCAACCTTTGTACATCAACTGCATGGGTGTACAAGGTGTCCATAAAAGTATGTTATGCTGCTGGAAACCAACAAAGGTATCGTGAGTTGTTGGCACTAGGTTAACACACATGTCGCAAATTGCTACTATCCCGTGCTGGTAGTGGGAGCCCTTTGTGATGGGGAGGGGGAGGGGAGGTAGACCCACTATCCCCAACAAGCATTACATAAGAGTCGACTAATCAGATATGTTTGCTTCGAAATTAGAGTGCTTCTTCCTGACAGGCAAAAAACCAACAGTCTTCAAACCAATTTTTAAAAACGTTAGTTGCGTACAGAATACAGTTGCATGACAATACGCCCCTTACAGGACGTCGCAGAACCAACCACAATATATTTCGGCTGTTGTGTTTTTTTTCTAGGCAAATTTTACGTTCAGTAGTTTGCCACTGCTTACTGAACGGTCAGCTCTCGGTACGCAAGACAAACTGTCCGCAGCTGGGATCGAACCCGGTACCCCGGCATCACAAAGCGCGTTGGCAACGCCTAAGCCACAGACGCAGACTCAAAGCAAAAAGCCAGGTCCGTAAAACGTATCTGCACACAAAACTCATGTTCAATGCTAAAGTCCAGAAGTGGATTGGGTGAAAAATCAGAGCCTTTTGCTGGAGTTTACACCTTGTGAACACTAAGAAAAAGAAGTAGAGAAATGGCTTCCAATTGACAGTTTGTTAAAAACAAGACATGTTTGGTCGAAGCGTGCAGATATCAAAGCTTAATTTCAAAGGTTATGATTAAATACTTGTACTGGACACACTAACATGGTGCTGGCTCTCACTCTCTTGTACCCCACCAGGACATCACATAAGCGATAAACACTCGGTGACACAAAGTGCCACCATGCGGATGAGGATCACCCGTGGAGAAGTCCTAGAAACCCTTCAGCCGTTAGGCCATATTTATGGCCCGGTTATATTCAGGGTCCCCGGCAAAAGCCAGGGCGGGGCTTCACATAACGAAAAATTGCATTCCACATGGGGACGACTGATAAATGATGGTGCTGCCTGCAGCCCTGTGTAGGTAATAATCATGTGCCTACTTGTCCGGCATGCCCACGATGCTTACATTTTTCCCTGTATTTCTTAGAAAGTTACAGTATAACAGAGGGCTGAGTTTCACCACAATATCTGGATATGGAAGCGATGGGGCAATCATCCACTACAGCCCTAGCAACACTACAGACAAGAAGATCTCCACAGATAGTTTCTACCTTCTTGATTCTGGTGGACAATATCTGTAAGTTATATCCCTTTAAATATATATATTTGTACATAAAATTGACTTTATTGTTCACTGAAAAAACTAAGTCTGTTTTCATGCCATTTTATAGAACCTATCATAGTATATTGAGGTAACAAAAGACATTTCAAGAGCTCTCTATAACCAATCCTGGTGTATGGAAGTGAATCATGGATAGTTAGCAGAAAAGTAAAATATTATGTGGACGTTAAGACATGTGATTTTACAGAATTATTATGAAAATGCCACAGGTAACTTTTAAGAAAAAGGTCGAGAACCCTCTGAAAAAGATGCTTTAGCAATGCGGAGACTAAAAAAGCTTGAAGATCATATGGCAAAGCCCCTGCAAATGAGTTAAAGTGAACATTTTGAGATCTTGCATCTTTACCATGATAACTTATGGATTTGAGCCGTGGGCTCCTACTCGGTCATTAAAGAACAGACCAACAGCATCCTGTCCCAAACGCGTAGCTATTTTAGACATGTTAAATGTCACGGTGGACTGGAGAGAAGGATGAAGGAGGCCAAAGTTTCTAGAAAACTAGGCAGTTGTAGATCTAAGCAAAGGTGAATATATGACAATGAAGATGCATTGGCTATGAAAGCACCTAGGGCTGGAGAATTGGCTAGAGAAAAGAGGCTTTCAACCATCTCATGACAAGAGCGACGATCTGTACAGACTGAGGTTGAGCTTATCATACATGTCCTAACAGGTGACTGGGAATGGCTGACATGAGACTGGCTGCCTCACTCCATAGAAACTTTAGCTAAAAAATTCAACTAATCGTACACACATCCCTATTGCTCAATGAATGCAGCTGTGAGTCAAAAATGATTATACTGACACATGTTCGCTCAGTATTGCAAGCAATAAAAAATGATAAGCAACTACAGTTCAACAAGCTTAGATCTATGCTAAATCAAATGGGTCAACTAACAAGGCAGACTGTGCTCCAGTGGATCCCACCCCATTGAGGTAAAATAAAAAGTAGACTATTGAGCTAAGGTTAGAAGTCTTACAGAACAGCCAAATACAGGATGCACTTATAAGGAAAATCGTTCATTCTTCCATCAGAAGTAATGAGGAGAACTCTTTCTTTCATCCGTCATGAAACTGCAGTTGAAGGTGTATGAGTCCGGAGTTAACTTATAAGTCCAATACCTGCCCGGGAGTGTCTTGAACAATGAGGGCAGGGCACAGTGCCTGTAGACAAATGGCCTGTTTTGTGGTTCTTTCGTATCTGTCTTCACTGTTAAGCTGCCAGTGTTCTAGATGCCTCGTAGATCATTGCACCGTTTCGAATATATGTGCGCCATGAAGCTCGGTGTTGTGCTGCAGCCTCCTATGTGTCAGGGTTTATACTGAAGGCTTTCAATAATGCCTTTTGTGTGTCCTTGAAGAGCTTTTTCTGGCCCCCACGAGAACGTCGATCTTCATGTATCTCACCATAGAAGATTATTTTTTTGGAGTAGATGGTCAGGCATTCGAACAATATGGCCAGCCCATGGAATCTGTGACTGCATCAGGATGGTATTGATGCTGGGAATACCAGCCCTGTCCAGTACGCCATTGTCCGGGACCATGTCTTGCCACTTAATGTTTAGTATCTTTCTCAGACAGACTGTAAGGAAGTGACTGAATTTGTTGCCTGCCTTCTGTATACAGTCCAAGTTTCACAGGCATAGATTGGCACTTGGGGAAAATACAACTTATATGAAGGCAGCTGTTCAAACGCATTGGAACATTTCCCATTGATGACACAATCCTGAAGACCGAATCAACATAATCAATGAAAAATAGACCATTATATCTGTCGACTGGACACAACAGACTTTGCAGCCATATGTACAAGAAATACAAGATTGAGGATTCAGAACTTTACCCATGTGAACAGCCACCACAGAATACAGAACTTGTGCTACAGACATGCTCGCTACATGCACGATAAAGATCCCCGGTCTGGCCGGTCAGGGTTCCAATGAAAACTGTGATGAGGTGCTGTGCATGGTCTTCACGATTACATTGTGGCAAGAAGAAAGTCCGTGCTACAAGTGACGGCACGAGATACTTGTGGCCGGTGGAGTAAGCGAGGCGAAGCCCGAGCTAGCCTCGTGGTCAGTCGATCATTAGAAGTCAGAGAAGACGGTTGTAGTATTTGAAGATGTCGTCTTTATGTCGGGTAAATGGTTAATGTTCGAATGTGTCGCGAGTGAAATAAATGTGAAATAAATGGACCAGAATAAACTGACAGATTGTACAATGAAGCTGAGTGGCGTTAGTGTTGTCAACCCTAGATGTTAAAGCTGGTGCAAACCAAGGTACATTTCAAGTCCACGTCAAGGTTCATTCAAAGTTGAATCAGAATCATTTCAGAAACCAAGCTGCATGAAACAGTGGAAGGCATGCATCATACCACTGACTTCACAGAGACCGGTGACCTTCTTGTGTAAAAACCAATGGCAGGAGAAACGAAAAAAGATAAACAGATCAACAAAGGGCGAGGGTGTAGTGACACAGCACGTGCTTCAGTGGCAAAAGGAACGAAAAGTAGATAAACGGATCAACAAAGGCTGGGGATATAGTGACTGACAGCATGTGCTCCAGTGGCAGAAGAAAAGCAGAAATAGAAGTGAAACTGTAGACTAATGAATTGATTTTTCTCTATCTGCTGCAGGGATGGAACCACAGATGTAACCCGAACACTACATTATGGCAACCCGACAAGTTATGAGAAGGTAAACTTTGTGATTCTGTTATTTATTTCTCGCAAACATATAGAGTACTAGCACCTTTTTGTATCTTTTTTCTTTTAGCGCTGCTGTAATAGACACTTTATGGTTTGATTTGATTTCATTTGATTAAAGAACCAACATCACAGCACTCGGGGCATTCCCATAAGCGCTCCATTCCCATCTGTAGCAGCCAGCGAAAAGTTCTGATACTAATGGTGCCAGTAGCATTCTGATTAAACGACAATCTTGCCTTTCCTCTGAGCCTCCAGCATCTGCCGGAACCTCTCGTCACTCCCCCCTGCATCAATCTCACCAGACTGTGGTGATCTATCTGCTCCTCCGAACTGTACACGCTCTCCCACAAGGCCCTAACCACGTCTGCCTTATCATGTATCAGTATTCCACCAAGTTGTACAGAGCCAGCCAGTCTGTCCGCATGTTCATTTCGTGGCCTGGTGACAAAATCCAGACAATACTCCTTACCCGTGTCCTCGGCAGCGAAGCATGCCACTCTGCACGAAGCATGCCTGTCCTGATCTTCCTCAGCATACTTTCTGAGTCAGTTACAATCACGATTTGTGTGTGTGTGTGTGTGTGTGTGTGTGTGTGTGTGTGTGTGTGTGTGAGAGAGAGAGATATTCTCTTTATGGTGAAAACCGGCACCTTTTTCAGGCATTCTGGGGTGAGTACCGGCACCTTTGTTTCGAGAAAACAAGCTCTGCTTAAATATATTTGACAATCTAAAACAGCTGATACCATGGGCCACTAAATCATCTGCCCAAAGACTTCTAATCATCATTAGCAACTCTAGCAACCCAGCATAAGTGATAGGTTTTCTCATTTAGAATAAGATCTGTGTCCTGTTTGATCCAGGCTTTTCATAGCCCTAGTTTTGGCGGAAAACATAATATACCTACTGCACCTTAACCAACGTGTCAATCATTACGGATTTGCTGAAATCACCTGTGTTGGGTAGAAGACAGCAAATATTGCAGCCTTGCTGAAAACCACAACACAATGTGCCAACCATAATTTCTGAGGGCAAAGTCAAGCTCAGTCTAACAAGTAACACTTGCGCTTCTTGAACACTTACATTTATAAATTAACACCTTCATGTGATGGCTGTTTGTTTTGAATTTACACCCCACATACACCGAAAGTTATAATTTTGTATCCATTATCCCACATTTGCCTTGTAAATAAGCATTGTTAACATTAATGATTTCTGTAATTACTTTTCTAGGAATGCTACACTCGTGTTTTGATGGCCGCTATTAGTCTAGCAATGTTGAAGTGGCCCCAAGGACTGTATGGTAAGTTACACTTTCAGTTTTCAATAATATTTCTTCACAATAATTTACATTAGGATATCCTATCTGGATCTTGATACCCAGTCCTTACAAACCCGAGTGGATCAGTCACAGTTACGATGGTTTGGACATGTATGCAGAATGGGAGAAAATCGGCCACCATGGCAGGCATGGGAGGCTAAGAACCAGGGAACCAGACCTCCAGGACGACCCAGGGTGCGCTGGGAAGAAAACATCCGACATTCCCTAACTGACAGAGGACTGGAATGGAACAAAGCCAGAAAGAAAACTGCTGATAGAGATGTCTGGCAATCTCTCTGGCAAACCTCTACACCCCAAGGTAGAAGAGGAGCGACTAAGTAAGTGAAGTGAATATCCTATCTCTCACTTTCTGTATTACTTTTTAAAAATGTATTACATAATAATATCATGTTTCTCATTTTCTGTATTATTTTTTCACTATGTTTTACATTTGATAGGATATCTTATCTCTCGGTTTCTGTATTATATCTTCATAATGTAGTACATAAGGTTATCTTATCTCTCAGTTTATGTATTCCTTCTTAACAATGTATTACATTAAGATATCTTATCTCTAAGTATCTGTGTTACTTCTTCACAATGTTTTAGATTAAAATATCTTATCTCCCAGTTTATGTATTGTATCTTCACAATGCAATACACCAGGATATCTTATCTCTCAGTATCTGTATTACGCCTTCCCATTGTATAACATTATGATATCTTTTCTCTCAGTATCTGTATTACATCTTCACATTGTATGACATTAGGATACCTTATATCTCAGTTTCTGTATTACATCTTCACATTGCATAAAAGAGTTACATAGTGTGGTCAGTCAAACATTCAGACTGACGATCACTGTAAACTTACAAGAATAACATATAAATTATGCAAGGAAACTCCAATATAAAACATTTATCTGGCGGGTAGGTGCATTTATTACTGAGGAGATGGAGCACCTTTGGCTATGAAATGAGTGCAGTCATGACTATTCAAACTAAATTGAACCAAGTCTACTCACATTAACTTGTTAATTTGTTAGGGGACTTTGAAGAAATATCCTGTTAAACATTTATGAAAACATTGTCCTTTCCAGGGCGTCAGATTGATGCTATTGCACGATCTCCTTTGTGGGAAGTAGGTTTTGTCTATAGACATGGCACAGGGCACGGGATTGGTTCTTATCTGAGTGTGCATGAAGGTAGGTAAGACTTAAATACTGCTAGACTTCAATACAGTTAATGCAATAATTTACTGTGTAAAATACAGCAAAAAAATACAGCTATATACACAGTTAATTGTACAGGTAACCAAGTGGCAGGTACTTCCAGTAAAGTTTGTATACTGCAGAATAAACAAACAAAAATAAAGTAAAAATAAAGGACCCTTTTCCATGCCCACGTGCATTGGGCCAACGCTGTCTCTAATTGTGCCTCACAACTAAATGACCCACTTTTTGAAAGGAGTCCCTCAGAAACTGGTTACTTGAAGCCCTTTCCATGTGTTGCATCGTGTGACATTTTAATGTGCTTACGAAGTTCTGTGTTCTGAATGTATTCGCATTACAGATCGACAAGCGGATATTGTGAAGTGGATATACACGATATTGCTTTCATACTGACTGTGTATAAATAGTGCAACTACACTGTGGATAAATAGTGTCAAGATATTTCGGAGCTCTGGGTTAGTGGATGAAAATTATATTTAATTTACTAACTAACCTCTCACAGCAATTCACTCTTTGCCTATTTACTAATTGTTGACTAACAGTATAATTATATATTGTAGAAGTACACTAATAATATTAATCCTCGACCATCTGTCTTATGCTTCACAAACACTGGCTGTAAACTCTGGCAGAAACTTCTGGTTGTTCATCTACTTCTTATGCATTTTTGCAGTTGTACGGTCTGTGTTAATTTTTGTAAATTGGCTTCTGTTTCGTGAACACTGGCTGTAAACTCTAGCAGAAACTTCTGGTTGTTCACCTACTTCTTATGCATATTTGCAGTTGTACGGTCTGGGTTAATTTTTGTAAATTGGCTTCTGTTTCGCAAACACTGGCTGTAAACTCTGGCAGAAACTTCTGGTTGTTCATCTACTTCTTATGTATATTTGCAGTTGTACGGTCTGGGTTAATTTTTGTAAATTTGCTTCTGTTTCGCAAACACTGGCTGTAAACTCTGGCAGAAACTTCTGGTTGTTCATCTACTTCTTATGCATATCTGCAGTTGTACGGTCTATGTTAATTTTTGTAAATTTGCTTCTGTTTCCCAAACACTGGCTGTAAGCTCTGGCAGAAACTTCTGGTTGTTCATCTACTTCGTATGCATATTTGCACTTGTACGGTCTGTGTTAATTTTTGTGAATTTGCTTCTGTTTCGTGAACACTGGTTGTAAACTCTGGCAGAAACTTCTGGTTGTTCAACTACTTCTTATGCATATTTGCAGTTGAACGGTCTGTAATAATTTTTGTAAATTGGCTTCTGTTTCGTGAACACTGGCTGTAAACTCTGGCAGAAACTTCTGTTTGTTCATCTACTTCTTATGCATATTTGCAGTTGTACGGTCTATGTTAATTTTTTATAAATTGGCTTCTGTTTCGCAAACACTGGCTGTAAACTCTGGCAGAAACTTTTGGTTGTTCATCTACTTCTTATGCATATTTGCAGTTGTACGGTCTGGGTTAATTTTTGTAAATTTGCTTCTGTTTCGCAAACACTGGCTGTAAACTCTGGCAGAAACTTCTGGTTGTTCATCTACTTCTTATGCATATTTGCAGTTGTACGGTCTGTGTTAATTTTTGTGAATTTGCTTCTGTTTCGTGAAAACTGGCTGTAAACTCTGGCAGAAACTTCTGGTTGTTCATCTACTTCTTATGCATATTTGCAGTTGTACGGTCTGTGTTAATTTTTGTAAATTTGCTTCTGTTTCGCAAACACTGGCTGAAAACTCTGGCAGAAACTTCTGGTTGTTCATCTACTACTTATGCATATTTGCAGTTGTACTATGTGTGTTAATTTTTGTAAATTTGCTTTTGTTTCGTGAACACTGGCTGTAAACTCTGGCAGAAACTTCTAGTTGTCATCTACTTCTTATGCATATTTGCAGTTGTACGGTTTGGGTTAATTTTTGTAAATTGGCTTCTGTTTCGCAAACACTGGCTGTAAACTCTGGCAGAAACTTCTGGTTGTTCATCTACTTCTTATGCATATTTGCAGTTGTACGGTCTATGTTAATTTTTGTAAATTTGCTTCTGTTTCGCAAACACTGGCTGTAAACTCTGGTAGAAACGTCTGGCTGTTCCTCTACTTCTTAAGCATATTTGCAGTTGTACTGTCTGTGTTAATTTTGGAAATTTGCTTCTGTTTCGTGAACACTGGCTGAAAACTCTGGCAGAAACTTCTGGTTGTTCATCTACTTCTTATGCATATTTGCAATTGTACGGTCTGGGTTAATTTTTGTAAATTTGCTTCTGTTTCGCAAACACTGGCTGTAAACTCTGGCAGAAACTTCTGTTTGTTCATCTAATTCTGGGCTTTAGTCTTGTTTCAGATACTGTTTTGAACAACGAGATCTGGTATCTATATGGGAAATTTTTGTGTTTGATATGTGTATGTTGCACAGCATTTGCAGTTATATGGTCTTTTTTAAATTGCTTTAATTACCTTAAAAATAATATACCATTCATGATACTTATTCGCGTTGTTGCATGCAGTATTCAGAAATATTTGTGATGTATTTTTAAACAGTTACCAAAAAATCATAAGGAATTGATTTAATCCAACAAGATGAAACTGGACAAATTTGTTTGTGCTGTTTGTACCTTGAGGATAAGTATTTAGTAGTGCTATAAATACTGTTAAGAAAACTGCTCTGGGTGAAAAGTTATTGCAAACGTAAAAATGTACAAATGTCACCCCTCCCCCCCCCCCTTTTTCCCCCGGGCTCCTCTGATGCAACAATACCCTCTCAAAATCAAAGAGTTAGCACTGATATTTCTTTACTTTTGCTGGAATAACTTTCAGTTTATATCCAAACGTTATTAATGTTTATGTTCATGTTGACTGTAGCAAGGGCAATTTTGTTTGTCTGTAAAAGCCTTTATTGTTATTAGTAAATAACACACTTATTTACCTCAAAAATAACGTATAGTTCTATAAAATATGTCGAAAATTAATGAAACTGTAGTTTAATTTGTGTATACATCTCTTAGATAAAAACTGTGGACGCAAAGGGACTCCATTCTTGCACAAGAACGGGAATCCCCATTGACCTGTTTGGCCTTTAATAGAGAAGGCTGTGATTGGGCATATAGGGCAATACATATATTTTATAGACCAATCATCACTCGGTGAGTGATGTGGTCAGCATCACGTCGGCCGTCTTTACTTCACAGGACTATACCTGGTACCTACTCAAGACTGGGTTGACCTGGGAGGTAATGTCATTTTGGGAAAAAAATCCAACTCTGTCAGGGAGAAAAAAACGTTAATCATCTATTTCCATGTCTTGTAGTGTAATGGATACAAAATAGTGATAAATCAAGTATTTTTTTAAATAAACCAGTCCAAACTTGATGAATGATATAGTTAATATCAAACTGGCTCCCTTTAATTCCCATGACAAATCCTAGCAATAGATTTGTAAGGCTAAGTCAAGCTGAGCGTTATGGTAATTTCTTTTTTTTTATTAAATCACCTCAGCGGGGATTCAAACTTATGACCATTACCCAGAACATAATTTTGCAGGTCACTGCACTACCATGATGATGGTTATCATCATCATCATCAAGTGCTTTGCTGTCTGGCATTGGCGATCATGCGTCTCCATACTCTGCGATCTTCAACAGCTTGTATTATCTCTGTGCTGACATTCCTGACATAACTCCCAACCTGTTGTTATAGAATTTTAAAAAAAAGTGGGGGGGGGGGGGGGGGGGGGGGGGGGGACTTTTCCACACCTTCAGATGCATTTGTTTGATAAAACTTGACCTATATTTTATAGACCTATCGATTACCCGACTCGCTAGCGTAGTTGGCTAAACCTGATTTCGCGATGACCGGGTGACGAACTCCTTGTTGCCTGGGTTCACGCCTGGGGTTAGGCAGAAAAGCCACATTTCTCCTAGATTTACAGTATCTATCATCGAATCAAGGCCGAAGGGTTGCGATATCCACAGTACCGAGCCAGAGGGGTTAAGAACTCATGGTTTCTGGGGGGGGGGGGGGGAGGGTGGTGACCTATCGACACTTGTTGGTTTATGTTATCAGCATCATGCGGGCTGCATTTACTTCCCAGGACTTTACCTGGTACTCAATTAAGGCTGGGTCAATCTGAAAGCCAAGATCATTTTTGAAAAAAAAAAAGTAAGCCCCGTCAGGACATGAACCCACAACCTTTGGATCGACACCACGGCAGTCACCAGGCTGCTGTTGCTGAAGGTTAAATCCTGGACCTCAGTTACCCAGCCATCTTGTAAGCCACAGACTGTAAGAAGATACTGAGAATCGACTGTTGATGTTTAAAATTATGCTCAAATATGTATGCATGTCCATTTATTTTCCACACATTTAAAGGACCTGGAAGTATAGGTTTGACAACATCGTCGCATCCAAGCTCAGAACCGCTTTATGCAAATCAGTATTACTCAGATGGTATGGAATACGTATTTATAATGGTGCTATATCTGCTTTCCATTTATTTGCTTAACATTATATTCTAGAAGCTAACATCAATCTAACTTGTATTTGTCACACAAACAGGCCCAGGTCGGATCAAACTGGTTACAGAAATAAACCCCAGTGATGAACCTTTGACCTCATATCAATATTTCTCAGATGGTAGGAAGCTGCATGAGTTCATTTAATATTAAGCATGAGTAATATTGGCTGTAGGTCAATCCTGTTTTTCTGAGAAGCCAGAAAACCGACACTTCTGGCTGGACCTATTTCCCCACAATTGTCACTTTTCTGACTTGCCTACAAGAATGTTTATGAAATGCTTGGTTAGTGCTATTGGCTGAGTTCACGTTCACAACTTTCGAATGTTTAGGAGGTCAGGATGTGAATTTATTAGCTTAAAATAGCTTTTAGGTGATTTTCCTGCAAAACCAAATCTAATTTTCAAATGAGCTTTAGTGATAGAGGTCGTGGGATCACAGCATGAGTTATCCGATACGGTAAATTGTAAGCTGGTCTCCCCATTTACACACTGCTACACACTAGCTCGCTTCTGATTGGACAAACTACTGACCACCTCACTTCTAATAGGTCGGCCTCGAGCGATCCGACTTTCACACAAGGTCATGTGGAGATTCAGCACTCGCGCTCATACCGCGTGTTGTATATTTCACCATGCCAGAGATTGTAACACTTCTAAAACATTTAGATACTGAGTCTAACACACAACCACCCCCCCCCCCCCCCCCCAAGAGAGTAACAAAAACTATGTCACAGGCCGTCTCTTTCTCGGAAATAAAAACGTAAATGCCAGACAACAGACTGCGACACCCCTAACCTCGACCACAGTAGACTAGTTCAACCAACTTATCAATGGGGTTGACCTACAACCGGTGGTGTGTAAATGGGGAAACCATCGTATAAATAACCTCCGAAACATATAGTTTATTGGGTTCCAGAGAGAGTATTTAGTTTTATGCTTGACTCTGTTTTTTGTATTTAAGCATCATCATCATCATCATTATCGATATCATAAACCACTTCTGCCGTTAAGCGACGTGGGGAGGAATAATTTGCAATCCAGTGCATGTTGGCTGCCACTGGCTATTGTCATGCCGGGAAGGTGTAGAGTGTCTCTAATGTCGTCGATCCATTGTTTCCGCGGCCGTCCTCTTACTCTTGTAGCTGATCTTCTGAGATGTAGTGTTTGTGATGGTATTTGATCTTGTGGCATTCTAACGTAATGACCAAACCACTTGATCTGTTGTTTCTCAAATAAATCTAGAACAAGGTGTCGTTCCCACAATTTGCCTGATAGTTTCATTGTTCACTTGATCTCGGATGGTTAGGTTGGCTGCTTTTCTCAGGCACCTCATCTCGCAGGTGGTGATTTTGCGTATATGGGCTTCAGACAGAGTCCATGTTTGGCACTGGTAGCTTAATGTTGGAATGAATATGCTATATGACCATAATTTCTCCAAGACTCGTCTTTAGATGTTTTAATTTTGCGTGTTGCTTCTCTTCTTACTAATCTGTATTTAATGATAACTCCCTTTATATGTCTATTTATAGTTCCCCAAAATAAAACAAAACAAAAAGGAAAAAATGTTGATAAATCATTAAAAAAATATTATTAGTGTCGTAAGAAAAATTGTTTTGTTAAAGCATTTTGTCTGAAATTTTCATGAGGCCACTCCCCCCCCCCCCCCCTTTTTTTTTTCTTTTTTTTTTTTTCTTTAAGCGTTATCAGTGCAACAAGGTTAACATGTTTTATAAGAAATTAATTTATTGGGAAAAAGGGTCTCTTGAACTGGATTGTTATTTTATTAATTGCTGTCGCTTTTTATTTATTTTTGTTTCTTTGCATTCATTTGTGGCCATTTACAGAGCTTCTGGACTTTGTAACAGTCTACAAGATTGCATTATAAATCTTCACATTGTTTGCCAACTTGGCATATTTTCCATACAGCTCATTATTTACTAACTTATTATAAAATTAACCAGCAGAAAGTTTTGTATAATTATATGTTCCTACGAGGTTAGTGGCAATAACAGATATTAATGACAGGAGTTAATTAATAGAAAGTTATTAAAAATAGACTAGGAATGGATACAAAACAATTTAAACAAGATAAAAAAAAATGTTTTAGAAGGATTAACCTATTTATAAAGAGAACATTCAAAAATTAAAATACGCGGTGGCGATCAAAACCTTTGTTTAAAGAAAAGAATAATGTGAACACACAACTGGCTGTCACCCAAAAATAACAATAAAAGATGAAGAAAATGTCACAAACTTTTAATGTCTAGGCTTTTGCAAAAAACAGCAATGGAGACTGTTCAATAATAGTCCAAAGGGGGATGACCATAGCAATACAAAGATTATCACAGCTTTATAAGTCTGTGGTCAAGCATCAAAAAGGAAATTAAAGTGAAAATTCTGAGAGCATGCATCAGATCTGTAGCAACATACGGATGTGAGTCGTGGACTATCTCCCAGTCCTTAAGGGAAGAAAATATGGGCTTTTCAGCTGAATTGCTATAGAAAGTTTCAGTATACCATGGACAAAGAAGAAAAGAAATACTGACATTCTATTTTAAAAGATTTGAACATCAAGGAAAATTGGCTAATAAACAGCATTTTGTCTCACAAGCTGAAATATTAAACATATCAAGCAACGTGGTGGAAAGGAAAGGAAAAAAAAAAACAACCCCGATGGAAACAGGTAAACAGTGAGTCATTAGAAAAAAATGTGCGCGAGGCCAGAGGGTTAGCACCACGGCATCTCCCTTGAGTGTATATACCTATATTATATGTTCGTGTGTATGTAGACACACATGTGTGCATTCCCATTGGCGTGGGGAGGTGTATAGCCAACCTTCATTAAGAGATGGTACCCATTTGATTGACATAATTTCTGCAAAGTGAGTCATTTAATTCTTCCTCTAAATCAAAGTTTAGCAAATGTTTAGATACATATATTCTATGTGATTTGGTCAAAATAACATAATCTGCCATAACTTTTTGAGTCCCAAAGAACGCATCATACGTTCATAGATTCCTACCTAGAGACCCGATGAACGCATGATGTGACGATTTTAGTCTTTCTTGACTACCCCTTAGGCCTGTCATGCTAAACCCCCTGGGACTCAAAGAGTTAAAAGTGTTCATGTAATCACAACTCAAACATTACGGCAAATGGTTCACTCCACAGTTGCTCAATTTCCTGTGCCGATCACTTTCCTTGTGAAATAACTGACAGTTTTAGCTTACTGAATGCATAAGGCAGCCATCATAACTGCCAACACAAAGAGATCAGTACCAGAAAGGCAGTTCATCATCGGCAGAAGCAGCAGTTACAACAAATCAGTAGTTGTACATGCAATTAATCACATAAAGCAACATCAGTTTAAGAAACACTTGCCATTTTATGAATGCTTTGTTCACAATAGGTAGGTCGGTAATTGTACCCCACCAGGACATCGCACAAGAAATAAACACCCGGTGACACAAAGTGCCACCACGCGGATGAGGATCACCCGTGGAGAGGTCCCAGAAATCCTGCTCAGCTGTTGGGCCATTTTTCAGGCCCGGTTATATTTAGGGCCCGGGCAAAAGCCAGAGTTGGGCTTCAAAACACCTCAAAACTGCATCGCAATACAAACCACCTTCGGCACAGTCGAACTGCACTGCAAACAAAATTGGCATTCACAATTTTGCTCTATGCATTCAGCTGGGTGACGGAACTATGCACCTGGAAGCCCAAGGACAATTATAAAAATCTGCATCAGTGGATTCCGACCCAAGACTTTCTCGCTGGTAGGCACCATTTAGCCACTGTGCCACAACAGATTCTATCTGCCTTTACTTCCCATAATATTTCCTGGTATAAATATAGGACGCGTTTGACCCGAGAGCCAAGGACAATTTTTAAAATATCGTCATAGAGATAAACTACCCACTGATTTTCTGTGCTCATTTCTGTTTGTATTATTGCCTACTGAATGTGCAGATACTTTTCTAAATGTATGAATTCTACTAGAGTATTTATTAAATATCTGTATGTGAATTTTTCGGAATGTGTGGATTCTACTGTTTAAATGTGTGAACTTTTTTTAAATGTGTAAACTTTTCTATATGTGTTAATTCTACTAACTAAATGTGCTGCATATACCCACCCTGACATGTTACTGTTTGTTTATTCAACGGATTAACATCATGGCACAGGGGTGTAACCCATAAGTGCTCCGTTCTACTTCAAACTCAAATCTGGGGCTGAAGAATCTCAGCCCAGTGCACGAACTCCATCACATCAGCGAGGATCCTAAAATACTATGGGTAGATTTTTTCCCGGGCAGCGCCATTGGGCTACTCCTTTTCGATCTTCAACTGTCAGGGGATTTTTTTTTACGTTCACACTGGCATCCGGTCTTACTATCCAGAGACCATGGGAAATTACTAGACGTCCACGTAAAAAAAAAAAAAAAACAGCCTGGGTTTGAAACCGGGACTCCAGTACTAGAGGTAGATGCCATGCCTCGAGACCACTCAGTCCCTAGACATGTTACTTTTGCCCATGGCTTTGGGTGACTTGGGTAGTAACACGACAGCTTTAATCATTCTGATTTACTGATTTTAGAATTGACTTTATAGCACACCGAGCATACTGTCGTGAGCCCACGTGGGTAAATACACTTATATAGTGAGTGTTTAGGTTTGAACTCTAACAGTGCCCACCCACGTGAGAAACTGGACTAATATTTAAGCTATGTTGATCCTAGACAGTCCTGGATAACCAAGAAAACAGCGGGTGGCTGGTTCCATTAAATGAAAGTTGCTGTACTTGTATCCACAGGAGTAGGAGAAGGGATAGATAGATATCAAGATGAACCCAATGAGATAATATCAAGAAACACAGTTAACCCCTCCAACTTTCTCCTCTCCTGGCATTACTTAAAAGCCCCCGTCAAGTGATTTACATATTTGTCAGCTGAAGTAAACTAGTCTGCACAAAGACACTTGAACCTAAGTACACAATTTACTCAACTATTTTTAACAACATGAACAAGAGTTAGTGAATAAATCTTACCAAAAATAAAAGGAACGTGTTTAGGCTAGTAGAGTGAAGATTGTGTTTTTGATGAAGTTAGTTCATATACGTAGCTCATAATTGGAGAAAATAAACCTTTGGACAGTTCTCGGTTTGAGACCCTGCCTATCCTTTTCCAGTTTGTCGTCCTCACTGCTTTCAAGCAGGTCGTAACACTCAGACGGTCGGCAAAGAATGAATGCCTACTAAGTCCCTGTCCAATGTGGGAACTGTGGTAAAGAAACAAGCGCATTTGTGTAGTATCTAATCTAGATGTACACTAAGCATGTATATTATAATAACACCAAACATGTCTTTTCTTTAAAAAAAATTTCATCTCTCCCTCATTTTCACATTCACTGCTGTCCAGTCTGGAAGGGATTATGTCTCACATTCAAGCCGTTACATTTCCTGCCTTCCTCTACGCACGTCCTGTAATGATAGTCAAGTCTTATATGTCTGATGTCATCTCTCGTACAGACTCAAAATGACAATCAGTTAGAAAGAACAAGTTCTGGAATAAATGGTTTGGAACAATGGACGCGCCCAGAATGCTAACAATATTTCTGGGGCGAATCAAATAACAAATCTCAGGGATTCACTCTCTAGGATCAATCTTCACAATAGCCTCTCGGGAGTTAAACACATTTCAGTGTGTTAGCTGTATGTAATACAGATTCAAATTAACCACACGTGAGAAGACTGCTACAATTATCTTCACGCTTGTGATTTTAGAAAAATGATAGTTCATTAAATTTCAATGGTAACATCAGCATTTAAGTTATATAACATTGAAACACATGTGCACGAAAAAACATTCATGACACTGTCAATAACGATATAAAGCAATGTGACAGTGCCCTACGGGAATGGAGAAATGTCCGCTAAGGAGTACTGCAAAGTGATGAAGACACACACTTGAGCAAAAAGACAGTTAGATTTCTATAACGAAGTAAAGGTTTTAAAACTAGTTTCGCTTACCTGGAAAATGAAAACACAATGCCAAAAGTTATGTCTCAAGTTTAGGGTTTAAGCCCAACAGATGGTGTTACCAGTTCTAGAATCCACCCTTTTATAACTTCTTCTAAGCTCCTTCTACATTACTTCTAAAATCACTCTCATTCAAGGATGTCACAGCCCCATCCCGTTGGTAAGTCTGGGGCGAAATTAACTGTCAGTCAAGACTGTACAAAACTTGTTTGCCTTTTCACGGCTACGTTCTCTTGTTCAATAAAGCTGGTCAAAGCTCATAAACAAAGTCACACCCCCGCCCCCTTTCTTCAACCTGCCATCACCTTTACCCGACTGTGTCAATATTGGCGATCTGACTTGCCCTTAAGCTGGGTAACCTCAGGGGGAGATAATTACAATTAGCCTGAGTTATCTGCTCCTAAAGGTCTGGCTAGGAGATAATTATCTGAAACCTCAGTTCTGCAAGCAAAAATCTCCAGCAACTAAGCCTGGGTTGGTCAGTCTTACTGGCGTCACAACGTCTACCTGCTTAGTCGTGTTATCTGTACCTTAACACTTAACATATGGGAAAAAGTCTCAGTGTTTGATATCACCAGCAGTCCAGGAGAATTAAATAGGGTTGTTCTGGTAGTCGACCTTGAAATAGGATATACCAAAAACCATATTTTTCTGTATACTTTAAAATACATAGACAACAATGTAGGTTGAGGAAAGACATTCTGAAGTCACCGAGCGTGTCGTCACACATACCCACAGATGCTCCGTCTCCAGCAGCAAATGTCTAAAGGTGGAGATGCTAACTGTTCCCGTATCTCTCATACATCCCTCCTTGACAGATCGACTCCTAATTCCTCATTTTCACATTCTTCCATATGTTTTTCATCTAACCTCGTGTCTTCTATCAACATTCGTTCATACATGGGTTACACAATATCTCTTTTGTCCAGTACGAGTTTCCATAGCTATTGCTTTTGTAGCCAGAAAATCTGCTCTTTCATTCCCGCATATCCCAGACATTATATTCACGTAGTTCCCGTCAATATTGACGTATTGATGCTTTCATCAGTTTTCTGAAAGATGAATCAAAGAAAAACGTGACATATGATAACGTTGAAAAATGGTTTCACCTGTGATCAGAACACAGTTTAATGTGATTTGCTTTCAGAACCAGGTTATTATGAAGATGGGAAATTCGGTATACGATTGGAAACCATTGTTATGGTAAAGACAGCTACTCCAAAGGTCAGTATACTGTTTTAACTTTTTATATACCAAGCAGTTGTGGTGATTTAGAAATGGCGAACGTGCTTCGTAATGCTGAAGTGCTGAGTTCATGTCCAGCTGCAGGTGTTATGGCAGCAGACCACTTTGCGTTGGTTTCAACAGCGATATCGAGAGCCAACCATTCATAGAGTAATGGCAAACTACAGTACGTAAAATATGCCTAGTAAAATTGCAAAGCCTAAAAAAAATGCTAAGGTTAGTTCTGAAAAGTTCTGTAAAAGACATGTAACTAACTACTAAATACAGTGTAGATCTGATAAGGAAAGCTGACCGGGGACCCCCAAAAAACAGTTCTTCTTAACAGGAATTTCTCTTATCCGGATAGGAATTTAGGCAAAAAAATTGCCAGTGAAAAACAAACTGTTTACAGAAGCAAGCTTCAGGCCTCAGAAATGTGATATCCGAAAAAAGTATCCGAGTAACAAAAATGGACAGAGTTCGTATTAAAACAATGTGTCAGGATCTTGAAACCCAGGCTCTACAAACTTAAACAGATCAATCAGTTACAATGGTTATCATGAAAGTCATCCACATGTGAGATGCAATTCTTTTGTTATTTGAAGCCCCGCACTAGCTTTTTCTGGAGGCCCTGAATATAGCCGGAGCATAAATATGGCCTAACCATAGATGTGGCTGTAAGGGGGGTTCTGGGACCTCTCCATGGGTGATCCCCATCTGCATAGTAGCACTTCGTGTCACCGGGTGTTTATCGCATGTGTGATGTTCTGGTAGGGTACAACTACCTACCTACCTACGATTGTTTGGACATGCATGCAGAATTGATGGGAGACTGAGAACCAGGGAACCAGACCACCAGGGCGACCTAGGGTTAGCTGGGAAGGCAAAAGCAAAATCTGACAGTCCCTGACTGACATAGGACTAGAATGGAACAAAGCCAAAAAGAAAACCACAGATAGAAAAGTCTGGCAATCTCACTGATAAACCTCAAACCCCGAGGTAGAAGAGGCGCGACTAAGTGTAGGGTAGTAGCTAGATACTCACAGATCTTGGCTACATGTCTGCATTGAGGCTTCTATAACCTTGGCTTCCATGTAGACTCAGCCTAATATGGGTACAGGTAATGTGCTAGGAAGTCAAGATGGCTGACGTGGTGTTAATCACATCACCCAACAAATCTCCACGGCCCAAGGAATGCCTCATACGTTCATAGGTTCCTACCTAGAAGTCCTGTGAACGCAAGATGTTTCAATTTTATGACACTCTTTCCTACCCTATAGGCCTCTGATGCTAAACCCCTCTGGGACTGAAAGAGTTAACACTCGGTTATTTTTAAAAAGTGTGAGTATAGTATCATATGCTGGAACAGCCACTGGCATAAAATGTGTCCTTTCCTTATAGCAAGGAATTCATTGTGCATATTTCATGGAGACAAAACAATTACAGAGGTTCAGAGAAAACCTACAATAAAAAGAGAGCTATCTTTCTATCTTCTTTTACCCCACGAGGACATCACACAAGCGATAAGCACCTGAGGACACAAAGTGCCACAATGTGGATGAGGATCACCTGTGGACAGGTCTCAGAAACCGCGTTCAGCCATTAGACCATATTATGGCCTGGCTATATTGCAGCCCCTGGCAAGAGCCAGGGTGGGGCTTCAAATAACGAAACATTTCATCCTAAAAATTATCGTGTGTATACTTATTAAAAAGAGAGTCGCTAAAGGACAAGGAAATAATAAAGAGGGTGCGGGAGCGAAACAATTAAAACATGAAAAGTTGAAGGAAAGAGGATAAAATGTAGAAACCGATACAAGTGGGAAGACAACATCAAGAGATGGACATACAGCAGTATGAGAATTACAGCCAAGGCAAGTGGCAGATTTGTTGGTGATCCGTTGATTTTTAGGTGTGGAATTGACACCTGATTGACTGAGAGTTATATTCCTTCATGAAACTGTTTTTAATGCATTTTCTTAAGGTTTAAAAAATACATCATTAAGGTAATTTCTATGTCGAAGAAATTAGAATACAAGGCCCCCTCCCCCCCCCCTCCTATTTATGTATTGTATATATAATGTTTCCCTTTCATCTGTAAATTGTGTTGATTATATATCTCCCCAGTATACAACTGCAAATGAAACATTTTATGAGTTTCAACACATCACATTGGTGCCTTTTGAGAGAAAGCTCATTGATTATTCACTACTCACTTTGAAACAGGTAAACGAAAAATGCATGCTTTATCTACACTTTCATATAATACATAATAAATAGGCAATTGTATGTGTGTACATAAATATACACATACACATATATTTAGTGTCTACTGTAATAATGATGTAATAATAAAAATAATGTAGAAAGCAACGTGAAACTTTTGTGGCTTTTGAGCTGAAATGCTATAGAAAGATTCACAGAATTTTTTGGACAAAGAAGAGGAAAAATAATGACATCTTGAAAGATCTCAACATCAAGGAAGATTGGCTAATAAACAGCATCCTGTCTCGGAAGCTGAAATATTTTGGTCATATCAAGCACCACGATGGGGTGGAATAAAATTATAGCAGAAGGCATGGTACCAGGTAGGAAGGGCAGGAGCTGACCGACATGAAGATGGGCACAGGATATAAGTGACTCCTTGAGTATGAAAGTCCATGAGGCGGGAGAACTGGCGAGAAACCGAGTTTCTTTCAGGCAGACCGTGATGAGAGTGACGTTCTGCAAAGGACCTGCTACATGATGATGACTGTAAACAGCTGACAACTGTGCACCTAAACAGGATGGAAGAGCTTGCTGAGGCAATCAGAAACAATCCACCTATGCGTATGAACAACAACAAAAGTATGTGCAGTCTATTACTTTCTTCCCTAAAGAGGAAGTTTAAACACTGGAGACAATAGATTTTTTATTAAATATCAAGAAAGGAGAAAAAGATGAATAACTTGGTCACAAAATGAGATATGAACATTTATTACTAATGATGTTAAAGAACAAAATTTAATGCAGGAGAGGCTATGCTGGGGGGGGGGGGGGGGGGGGGGGGGGGGAGGACACTATTTGCAGCGTGCAAGGATGCTGATAGAGAAAATTGACTTTAAGCTGAAGAATGTTGTAATGAAGAAGAGACACAGAGGGGCATGGCTTCAATTCCTGTGCCCAGGTATTTTTTTTTTCCCACTAGAAAAATATAATTAGAGGCACAAGCTTTCTCAAGATGATTCCAGAACAAAACAAAAGAAAGAAGACTGAGTTCTAGATCGCTGCCACATTACCTCTTATAGTCCTAGGAAACACACATGTTGTGTGACAATCACTTAATTTCCCTCCATGGGCTAATTATTATTTTTGTTGGCACCTTTCCGCCTGTCCAGACGATATTATTAGATTATGCTAGAAGGAGGCATGGGGCTCACAGCTAATGGTGAGTGCGGCTAGCAAGACCCGGCCGTGTTAAGAAGTTTTCCGCAATTAGAACATGGAATTTTAGGTCTATTTCTGCCATCTTATGTATTTAGAAGTTTGTTTTCAGATGCTCAGCTCTCATCTTCCCTTCATTCTCACTCCCTTCCTGATTTGTCCCCTCCATGCAACATAGCCCATGCCATTTTGTTCCAACAAATCTACCTCAGTACCTGTATCATTCGTGCCCCCTTTAGCTTGTTGTGACTAAATGTTAAACTTAAAAAATCTGGCTTCTCTAATTTAATTACCACTATGTGTATTGCCACATGGAAAGTAAAGCTTTTTTCATCATGAGTCTTTTCTTCACTTTGGCATCTCCTGTGAAACGTTACGGTGCTAAAAGAGTTAAAGTCTGGATTATAAAGAATTAACAGTAACTATCTGAACCAAAGGCAGCCTTGGTAGCATTTTGCTAGACACTCACTTGCCGGTTTGAAGGTTTAAAGTTGAATTTTTTGTTAAAGTGATTTGGCTTTCAGGTCCACCCAGCAGGAAATGGGTGCCAGGCAAAGTCCTGAAAGTAAATGCTTCCAGCGTGACGTCGACAGCATCACCCGTTGAGTGCGTGCTGATTGGTCTTTAACAATATGAGTCTGGCATCATATACCAGATGTGCCACTGGTATGAAAAGTGAATTTTACTTTTTTTTTTTAAACTTGACTATCTCAGCCTGAAAGATTCTAGGTAATGAGTCTGAGGTCCTGACATTCAGGCTGCCTGAAACCTAAAAAGAGCCTGAATCAGTCAGAATGAGACAGGCGTAGTCTTTCTTGACCACATAATGAAGTATCGTCTTCATGAAGAATGTGTCACTCTCCTTCCTATGTTTTTTTTGTTTTTTTTTTGTTTATAAGGTATATATTTTTTTTTAATGCCAGTATTCACCACAAACATTCTATTACAGTAACACTAATAAAATGATGCCCCCTCCCCCCAATTAGGTACCAGTACTGTGTACCCTTGCATTCCACCTGTAGAAACAAGCACTGCTCCTTCCTCTCTTTGAGCATAAGAATAATTGGAGTGTGCAAGGTAAAAACTTACAGCAGATCTATGCCAGTCAACTGAAATGTTAACCAGGATGTTAAGACCAATCTTTGATTAGACCACACCATAGAGAGGTGCTGAAGGATCTTGGCTGATTTATCAAGAAAAGATTTAAAACCATAAATAAACTCACAAAAAGTATATCACTTATTGTAATCAGTAATGGCTGATTTATGTACTCAACTCCCACGTGGGTTCTGAGACTTCATTTAGGGGAACAAAGAATAGACCCACTTCCCCCTTCCCCAGCAAGCATGTTGTAGGAGACAACTAATCAGGGGTGTTTCCTTCAAAGTTAGAGTACATCTGCCTGAGAGGCAAGGAACCAACAGTCTATACAAATGAACCAGACCTTTAAAATGGATGCAAGTCCCGGATCAAGACCAAAGTATAGGAGTGGACAAACAACCAGAACTTTCCGCCTGAGTTTACAGACGGTGAATGCTAAGAAGGCAATGACGAAGGCCTGTGGTCCCTTGTGAGACAGTTTCAGTAGGGTTCAGTATTACTACACCACATAATTCTGGTATTTACAGAGATACCTGAACATACCTCATGCACTGTCTAAGACGCATGGAAATGTAATTAACTCCAATTGAATAGACTTAGAGAGAATGCCTTGTGACACCATACCATACAAAGCATACATGGGAAGAGAAGAAGGGCGTAGAGCACGGGGTAGACCAAGAACAAGATGGAAGGATAACATCAGAGAAACTCTACAACAGCATGATGTGCCTATGGTCGAGGCAGCCAGAAGAGCTAGAAACAGAACCTTATATCTCCCTCGACACCCACAGCGGTAAAAGAGGAAGTGAAGAAGAAGAAGAAGAAGAATAGACTGTTATGGTTTATTCTTTGAGAAGTAGAAGACCATTAAAGATAAATATCATTTTCATAATTTCAGGTGGAGTGGCTCAACTCCTACAATGACAGAGCAAGATCAGAAATTCTGCCTTTGCTGGAAGGGGATCAGGCAGCCATCAACTGGTTTCATGACAGGACACAAAGAATTGATACCAATCTCTACAAGTACAACAACTCTGCCTCACAAACCTGCATCACTCCTATATTTTATCTAGCTATCCTAGGAATATTTCTGCAACTGATGTTCTAAACCAGTGATTCCCAAACTCTGCATCACGATCTCTTCACAGGGGCGCTGCAGAATATTTGAAGTTACATTCGAATAGCCATACTTTAACTTAGGTTAGGTCGCAGTGGAAAAATTTTAACTGAGAAAAAGGTGCTGCGACTAAGAACAGTTTGAGAAACACTGCCCTAAACTATTATCCATATGTTTTATATTATTATTTGTCATGTTTTGTAATGTAAAGGTTATATCTTGAGAATATTCTCTACTAGCTATCCTAACACTAGTGCAGAATAGATAAGGAGAACTCACTCAGGACCCAGGACATGGTTCTTCTTATCAGAAATTCCATTTCTCCAGATGAGAATTCAAGCTAGAAAAATTTCATGCGATAAATAAATTGTTCTTCACAACACAAATTTGCTACACCTGAGATCGCCTTAAATGGTTTGCACTGTATTTCTTCACATGATTTCCTAAACTTGTAATATTGTTTTTATTTGTCGTTGTTTTGTTTTTTACGGATCCTTGTTTGTCATAAATGGCATATAGTGATGAAAATGTAAAGAATGTGTTCCAGATCTTCATGTGCCTCTTGTATACAGTGTCAGCCCTATATTCTTGTGAGTAATTAAAGTTTGATAGGTAATCTTCATCTTCTCATGGTTCAACGGCTGTAAACTCAAACATAAAGTTCTGGTTGTCCACCCACTTCTTAATTTGATCTTAAAATTATTCTTTGTTCATCATCTGTAAGCTCCAGCAGAAAGTCCTGGTTGTCCATCCACTTCTAGACTTTGGTCTTGTTCCACAGCTTGATCTGAATATTATTCTTTGTTTACCATCTGTAAGCTCCAGCAGAAAGTCCTGGTTGTTATCCATGTGAACTTTGGCTTTGTGTCAGGGTCTGAGTTTTGCATGCCTATTCATTTTACTGGCTTATTTTCAACTGAACACAAAAGCAGCTAGAATCATTCTTGCTTCTGTAGTCAAGTATTCATATTGTTTTGTTCTTTGACACAAATTTGCTTAGTCCCTAATATTATGTAATGCAATTGTATTTTCTCTATATTATAAATAATGTTTCTTAACTTTTGCTTCAATAATGAATAGAAAAGCTAAAGGCTGTAACTTCCATAGTTGCTGCCTTATATAGTAACAGTTGTTTCAGCTTACAGTGTGTGTACAATTTCACATACCCCCAGACATTTCTCATGGACTTTATTTTTATACACTAAATTGATGAAAGTTGAATACAAGCTTAACTCTTATAGCTAAAATTTTGCTCTAAAGTGAATTCTTTATTATTCTATACAATTTTGTAAATTCACCTAAAGTCAATCTACAAAAGCAGTTTTTGTATGGAAGATAAAGAATAAAGAAATAGACACAAGAGATGATTGTCTTAAACATATATATATATGATACTAAATTTAACAGATTAACTGGTACTGGAAGGGAAATAAATTTGTCATATTTGAGAAATTCAAAATCTTTGTAAATTAGTTACTGAAACTGTTCAATTTGCACATAAGAATGAATACCTTTTGGTTCAATAAATCAACTGACAGTTTTTTTATTTGCGTCTCGGTCATTGATAGTTTTAGGCATACAGGCTTTCCTGGCAACTAATAAAACTGCGCTATTGGATACAATGTTTTTTTTTTTCCTTCAAACTATATATACATATACACACACACATATATATATATATATATCATCAGTTCTCGTTATGCCTAGTGGCACATGAGGCTTCAGAGAGGACTTTGCATGCTTTCCTGTCCTGTGCAATCTTCAGTGCAGTTTTCCATGTCAAAGATGCCGCACTTAGGTCACTTTCCATCGTTCGTCTCCATGTTGTTTTTGAGCGTCCCTGTTTTCTCTTTCCCTCTGGTGTCCATGTGAGAGCTGTTGTGGCGGGTATATGAGAATTCATTCTCATAACGCGGCCAAGCCATTTCCATGTTCTCTTGGTTATCATACTGTCTAAAGTTTCTTGGTTTGTGACTTGAAGTAGTTTAGTGTTTGAGATTGTATTTGGCCAGAAAATTTTGATAATTCTATGTAGACATGTGTGGTGGAAGGTGGACAGCTTGTGTGCATCCTTTTTGGTCATTCTCCAGCATTCCGCTCCATAAAGAAGAACTGGCAAAATGATGCTCTTGTAGAATCAGAGTTTCGTTCCTCTGCAGTAATTGTTGGATTTCCAGATTTGCCTTATTCTTCCGAAAGCAGCTCTAGCTTTGTTCAGACGTGACTGTATGTCCTCTTCGGTCCCTCCCGGCAGGGACACCACACTGCCAAGATATGTGAAATGTTCTACATTTTCAAGAGTTTGGTTATTTATGGTCACTGGTTGTTGGTTTGGACTGCTTGTCATGATCTTAGTTTTCTTTGTAATTATTCTCAGTCCTACCATTTCTGCTGTGCTGTGAAGTCTGTTACTTTTATATATATATATATATAGAGAGAGAGAGAGAAAGGGGGGGGGGGGGGGGGAGAGCTGGTTTGCAGGCTAAATTCTAAACCCTGTGAAATAAAAGGTTTTTTTGTCTGAGACAGACTGAGCAAACATGTGCAGTACTTCAGTTTTGATAAAATAACATCTCCCAGTCTGACTGTAAAGTAACACATTTGTCTATATTGGTCTGATTGCCACCTTTGACCATCATCATGTTGAGGGTCGTCATAAAAATATCCATAACGCCTGAACAGAAGAAACTGTGAGCACATGTGTCGCTCCAGGAAAGAAATATAAGTGGTACAGGTAAGTACATGACAGGTTATAGCAAGGGACATCACTCAACAATTTAAAAACAAAACTATTGGACATTAAGGCCCCTAGGAGAGAGAGAACCTATTAGACAGATACAGTTCACAGGAGACATGCAGACTGCGCCACTGGTATAACTAGGCTGATGGCAGTAACCCCCATGTCAAAGACACCTCAGTGGCCCTGAGAATTACAATTGGCAGACAATGGTTTGAGAGCACCATTCTGCACATCAGAAAGAAGATATTGGCTGAACCTGTCCACTAGCCACTGTCCTGTTCACCTACTCTCCAACTCTTACTCAGATATAGTATCGGTCTGCTCTTATGTAGTACAGACCTACTCACATATGGTATGGATCCACTCACCTACTGTACAGACAAAATGCACACACACACACACACACACACACACAAATTTATAAAATGAGCTTGGTGTATCCTTTTAATGAACATCAGATGTATCTGACATTACATGAAAGGCAGCTAATGCCAATGCTACAGGTTTCAATAAACTGTGTGTATATGCCTAAACAAATTATTGTAGGACATTAACGGTTACATTATTTTGACATTTTGTCAAGATTTCCCTTTTTTGCCCCTCCCATGTGATTTCCTTTGCAGAAGTTACAAATATTTACAACAGACCACCTCAGGAAAAAAGTTAACATTTATTTGTTAGGATGTATTTACAAAATGTTACACATGTGCAGTTTAGTTATCAATAATATAGGACACAGTAAAAAAAAATTTGTAAACACATCCACAGATGAAATTTTTTTTCTTCGTACTAGACATTTCATATTTTAAGGATATCAATTTAACATGTCAGCAATACAGATATACAGAAAAATGTTCATTTTAGTTATAAACAAAACCCACTTCTTTCTATTAAAATCTATTGCACCCTATTTAAAAAAAAAAAAAAAAAAAAGGATAAAACGAGACAATCTACCGCCAATGTTTGTTTCTTGTGGTTCATTCAAATCACTGTAGGTATTGTACTAAGAGTTACATAATTCTGGAGTATGCAGCAATTAAAACATAATACACAACAGTGTATTTTAAAATCAGCCAACAGCTGAACAAAGAGCAGTGACATTCAATCAGAACAGAGCACACGACAGTAAAATTTGCTCAGAATAGAACACAAAACAATAATGTATTACTGTCATCAGCAATAAGAGATTCATATCACATCTAAGCAACCTCATAATGACATGCTGTGAAAGCAAAATTGATGAGAATATTCATGTGACATGGCTTTTCTAGGCATAAAATGAATTTATGGAACAACAATAACAAATATACAATTCATTACAAGAATGATCAAAAACTAAAAACTATTGTAAAATGTAGAAAGTGCTAATTATCAGCACACAATTCACTAAAATCTAGACAAAACAAAGTACAAAAATCCACACTGTTGATATGTAATCTTTCTGAATGCAAGGACAGACAAAATACTTTCCAAGTTTCCCATATAAAAACTAACAGAATTAGAAGACAGTGGGGATATAATGTGCAGGTAGAGTGACAAACACATGCAGTCACCAACTGGAAAAAGAAGGCTAGTGAAAGATGAATAACAACCGAGTCATCCCATAGCAGCTCCATTCCCGTGGCAGTGAAAAACCGCACAAGAATGTCCATCACTGTGCATTGTGAACACCTGATACAAGCAGTCTTAGCAAATCCAACAACATACACGTGCATTAAATGTATAAGGCAGCAGCCAGAAGTGCCAACACAAACAGCCCGACATAAGAAATGCACTTAATCACTGATGGAAGCAGCAGTTACCACAGATCAGTAGTTGCAAAAGAAATTAATCCCATAAGGTGCCACAAGTTCATAACACAAACCACATCAGGCATAGTCCAACTACATCCAGAACTATATCCTTTCAGTCTACACATAGAGAAAATGCAACATCCAACTTTTGTCATATGCAAAAACTTGCTGCGTATAAAAACAGTAAACCTTCCCATTTGTGTGCATATCTGTTTCACAGATCTGACTTATAAAAATGCAGACTGCAGGTTCCTTGTATCTCAGGTAGATGCACTGTGCCTTTGAAGGTAACATCCCTAATGAGTCTCCTTGTCTGATATGCTTGCTGGGGGAGAGGGGGGGGGGGCGCAGTGGTTCTATTATTAATCCCTCCAAAATGGCGCTACAGAACCCGCATGGTAAAACAACTATGCCTTCTATTGATAAAAGTGGTAAGTGAAATCTGATTAGGTGGGAGAGTGGGTCACCCAATCATAGGACGTGGGAAGGGAACAAAGCAGGAAGAGACAGGAATGTGAAGGGCTGTGTAGAGAGGAGAATGTGGGGAAAATACACAGAAAGGGTGCGAATGTGGACATCACAACCTGTCAACCTGTTAGTGTCTAACAACAGTGTCGACTAATCATGGTGCTAAAGGTGATGAAGGAGGAAAAAAAGGGGGGGTGAAGGGGGCACTATCAGCAAACTAAAGTAAACAGTATATGATCAGTCATCATGTAATATAGATGTAGATAATATATTCAGGATACCTATGCCTCACATATTTTCAATAATTAAAATTGAAATAAAAAATAGTAAAAATCATATTTCCCATGGGGATTCCTCCATTTTGGAGAAAAAAGGACGGAGCCATTGCCTCTTTTTAGCATGCAGGGGGTTTTAAAAAGTTAGCTGCATATCCTTTACAGGACATGGCAGAACCGACCCCAGCATATTTTTATTTGCTGTTGTGGTTTTACTAGGCACATTTTACGGTCAGTAGTTAGCCACTGCTCTTTAAGCGGTCAGCTCTCAGTACCACTGTCAAAACCAATGCAAGTCGGTTGGCTAACAAACCGCCCACCGCCTAAGCCACAGATTCTGACATGCAGAAAGGAAAAAACAAGGAACTGAGGGCTTGCGGAAACAGGATTAATTTAGTCAAAACTTGCAGATACCGAAAGCTGTAAATGACAACAGCCTATGCCAGCTGTTTTAAAGGGCAAGAGCAGAAAAAAAGAAGAAAAAAAAGGAAATTTTCAGATATATACACCCCTAACAAAATTATTCCAAAACAATTTTTTTCAAAAATTGTTCCTTAATTTTACCATTTTCAAGTCACATGTTAAATCAACGTTTAAATAATACATAGAAAATTCAATAATTTCAACTTTATAGTCATTCAATATCATTCACAGTGCAGACCTGGTCCAATACGGCAGACAGACAAGCTACCATTTTTAGTCATGGCAAGTTATTTGTTTCCGGCTATGGTTAGTGGTATTTTCCTCTTATCTGGACTGAAAGTATATAGTTTTGTCACCCAGCTACAAAGCTGAGTGCTTGAGTCAACGATGTCAGATGCAGATTTAATCTGGAGTGCTTTTTGACTGTTTGTACTGTAAACTGCTGAATCAGAAAATGGTGAGTGGACTTTTGCCACAGAACTGGTGGTGCCTTTCGTGATTAACTGAGTTTGCAACTAGTGATCCGTTGTAACTGCTGCTTCCACGAATGGTGAACTGCATTTCTACTGTCGGACTGCTTGTTTTATACCTCTGGTAACTGCCTTATGTATTCAATGTGGGTGTGTCTGCTACTGGCTTTGCCGATACTGCAGCCTGTCAATTATTTCTCAAGGGACAATGATGGGCCTTCTGTGAGGTTTCTGGCGCAGGAATGGAGCAACTATTGGGTGACCCATTTGCTGTGATGTTTGAACTACAATCACCTCACCACTGCCTGCTCCCAGTGCAGAACCCAAAGTGACCTACCCTGCCAAATTTTCATAAACCAGTAATGGATGAGACGAAAACAAATACTGTCACATTACTCAATAACTTACAATTGATGATTTTAAACAATTATGAAACAAACAAACTGTCATCATATTTACACACAGCACAGTTAAGGAAATACACACTGTTAATATTCAATAATAAACTGTTTTGTTTTATAGTTCTTCTATTATTCTTCTTGTGCGGCCTAGTGGCCTACAGGATATTGAATATTTTTCACAATTTCAGTTATCAAGAACCAGGTTTAATCTAAAAGCATTTGGTCTTTGAAATAAAAATGTGTTATAGTGGAACTAGAGCTACACCATGAAAGAAACTGGGGAGCGGGGTGGTGTGGGGGGCTCTCACTACATAATATTACTAAAAACAGCAGCAGCAGTAGGTGCACTTCAGCCAACATGCATCATTAGGATGGTACAAACAACAACAAAAATGTTCCTTATTCCTTTCAGTAGCAAGCCTGCAACAGACCTGCAGCCTCCCTAACAAGCATGTCATAAAAGGCAATTAACTAATGATTCTTTCCTCCAAAGCTGTAACATATTTGCCTGAACAGTGAGGAACCAACCATCTGCATACAAGCCAGTCAGGTCTGTAAAAAGATGTGCACGCAAAATCCATGTTCTGCAACAAGTTTAAAGTCCAGAAGTGGATGAACAACCAGAACTTTCCGCCAGAGTTTACTGCTGGAGAACACTGAGAAGAAGAAAGGTACAACATAAACTACTCACACGCACGGGCATGCATGCATGTGTGTGTGTATGTGTGGTGCTGGAACGTGGCAGATGTAACAGGACGACTCAAAGAAAACCAACAATTTGCATTTTTTCTAAACGTATATTATTATTTTTTGTGTGTTAAACCATATGTTGTTATTAATCCAGCGGCGCATGAGCTTCCGCCCTCTGGCCCAATGCCATGTAGTGGAATTTACATGTTTTCACAAGCTGTTCTTTTTCCTCCGTACAAGGTGTTCCACCTGTCTGGTCTCGGAGGGAGTAGCATTCTTCTAGTCTCGTTGAGTTTTAGGCACTCAAAGAGATGATGGTCAACAGTTTCGTAGGGGTAGTTACATAGCTGGCACTCTAAGGAGTGTTGTGGCTGTATTCTGTTTAGGTGTCCATTGAGTGGAGTATGTTGTGTTCTGAGTCTGAAGATGGTGGCCTGGTCCCTTCTTGTTAAACCATAATGATAATCTTGTTGATGCTCGGTGTTTTTCATGCAGCTAGCAATTTTATTTTTTAACTACATATTTTACATTATCTTTCCTTTCTGAAGACAATGTCGAAACTTACTCGTAAACTAAAATGAAAAATCCAATATGACAAAAATACCTTGAATTATTTAATGACTATGATAGATTAGAAGATAAGGAAGCATGAAAACAGCAACATTTGTTTATGAGGAGATTAAAAATAAAATCAAAATCACTTAGAACAATTAATTACATATACCTGTGACAAACAGCAGTAAATGGCAAACAAATATGGCATTTTCAACAAGTCAAACTGAGTATTAACCAAAATGGTACTAATTAAGATGAAACAGCAAGGGGAAAACCACTACAAGCACTTTCCAACAATAAATTTATTGGCAGTGGTATACTTTATGGCTAGATGCTCACATGTAGGCCCAAAGGTCTTGGTTTTGAATTTAGATCCAGCAGTCAGGTTGGTCCAGCCTAAAACGAGTACTTGGAAAAGTTTTGGGAGGTGAAGGCAACCGGCATGATGTTGATCACATCACCCCTGGGGTGCCGGTTGGCCTGCAAAATTACAAGTCTAACATCATAAGCCTGACTTTTTCTTCTCTAGTCCTGCTGTGTCTTTCAGACCAGGTTCTGAAGAGATTTTGGGCGATGCATACATGCTGCTATTGAGGACCTCGGATATTCCATCTATCTATCGCTTGCGTGGTTAACCTCTGGATTTGCTTCCCTGACGTCTAAGTGGCAGGGCTCTCTGTGATGCACTATCTGGTAGAAGTCTTGACACACCCTTCTCACTTCTTCTTCTTCTGCCTTTCTAGCCCCCAATGGAGCAGAGACCCTCAACCAACTCATGCCAAGTCGTTCTATCCTTTGCTATCGCATACAGCTCTCTCCATGTCCTCCCCATCTTTCTAACTTCATTCTCCAGCTCCCTTTTCCATCTGTTTTTGGCCTTCCTTTATTCCTATGCCCCCATTCTAGTTATATTGTTCTCCAGTTTTCTCAATGTGTGTTCTATCCAACGCCAGCATCTTGTCTTCACCTCTTGGTCACTGCTGTGATCTTGCATCAAGTACTTACTTAGTCGCTCCTATTCTATCTTGGGGTGCAGAGGTTTGTCAGTTTCCTTTTAAGCTTTGTTCCATTCGGTGAAGAATATAAGCAACTCCAAAATATGATAAATGATATCATAAGACGGATGTACACACAAATATCAGACCCTGGTACAAAGTCAAAGTCCAAACAATCAGGACTCTCATCCGGAGCTTACAGCCAGTGATAAAGAAGAGTAAGAAGATCATAAGACTTCCAACTTTCAGCAAGGATGCCATCACAAGAAAAAAAAATTGCACAGCTGGTTTTAGAAAATAAAGAATGACATATTTTTCTTAACTTTACTATCTCCTTTATATTATTTTAACTGACAATTCATGTCATAACTAAACTGAAAAAAGCAAAGTATCCACACAGCTGTGATCAACTAAGAATTTAAAGGACTGAACATATGAACCATTAGTATCACATATTCACAATTAAAAATAGTAACAACAGCAACTCATGGCTCAGCAATTTTTGCTTCGCAAACGAGAATCAATCGGTACAAATCCCGGAAAACCGTTTCAACTGGGACACCATAAAATGCTTACAAAGTAACTTGTAGTCCAGTGTGGATGGGTATTATGTCCCAATTTGGGATCACAGATTTCATCATTGTAATTAATAGATGACTGACTTTTTATCCCACTAGGACAACACACTGAGTGATGACATCCGGTGACACAAGGGGCCACCATTTGGATGAGGATCACCCGTTGAGAGGTTCCAGAAACCCCATTCAACCATTAGGTTACATTAGGGCCCCTGGCAACAACCAGAGTAGGGCTCAAAATAGGTCCCACACGGGGACAGGGAACTAATGAATGTTTGGTAGATCATTATAATTTTTTTTTTTAAAGTCACGACAACGAAGTGCTTTAGCCATCTGCCTCACATTCTGAAGATTACGGGTTCAGTTTCACTGCCGGTGCAGAAGTACAAGTGTTTAGGAGATTCCCAAAGCTTGTAATGGAGCTAGAACTCTGTGGTATGTTTGACACTTTTAGTGAGCAAACAGCCATTATGGGGAGAGAGACAGAGTCTTAAGATAATACCTGGCACAAAAGCCGATTCTCTCCTCTTTAAACACTTTTGTTTCAAGACCACTATAGATTAACCACTGACTAGCAATTAATCTATAACAAAGGGATCTGTCTCTGAGCCACCTTTATCATTCAGAGCAATATTAGTGTCGTCCGCAGCCCCAATGTTGCCATTAGTTTTTGGTGCTGAAAGCAATGATATACCCCCATCAGCCAACTGCAACATGTCCTTATACTGTTCTTCTTTCTTCTGGAGTAACTCTTTTAATTTCTCCAGTCGATCACCCTTGAGACCACAAACTTCCTGCACCTGAATGAACTTTTTCAGTTCCTCGAGAGCATTTCTCACGTTTTCCAATGAGCTTCCCTCACAGGGTCTTTTAGCAGAAGCCAATAATGGGCTGCTTCCAAGTGATCTATTTTCTGCAACAACTGATGTACCTGAAGTGTGTAGAGACTTTGCTCCTGAAGTGGGTGTAGAGATAGAGGCTGTGTTTATACCATTAGCTGCTTCTAATGGTATACTTGAGGTAACAATTACAGATGATGAGAATGTGGTATCAGTATCACTCAGTCCTGCAGCACTGCTAGAAACAGAAGCAAATACAGCAGACTGTAGCACTGGGGACGGCACATTATTTTCACAAATGGGCCTGAATGATGAAAATGAAACGGAGGAATCACTAGCAATAGCTGCATTTGTGTTAGTGTTGTCACTTGCTTTCCTAGCACTGACCAATGTAGGCTCTGAAAATGAAGTAGCTAACGATGATGAGGAAGTTACAGAAACAGATGTGACTGTTGTGGTTGTCCTTGTAGAAATCTGTCCCAGTGATGTCGGAAGCAGAATTGTTTGTCCACCCCCTATTGAAGCAGCTCTGTATATAATATTTGAGTTGCCTCGTAAGTTCCTTGCAGCTAAAGAATTTGCTAAAGAGGGACTGATTATCCGAATGCTCTGAAAATTTGTGCCGGGTCTAGCAGAAGATAGTAAATGTACATTCTGTGACAGTAACGACCTCGGCCCACTGACAGATGTTATCACGGGGGACGGTTTGGGTGCTGCATCTAGTGGTTCTGTTTTAATAACTACACCAGGAGGTAAAGGGTACTTTTTCTCTAGCTTTCTTCGCTTCGCTGTTCGCTGTTCAGGGGTCATTTCCAGGTCAGAGCTGTGTTTGCGCTGAGGCAACAATAAACTGCTGGCTGCCAAGTGAGTAAGTGGATTGGTGTTAGCGATGGTCCCAAGTGTAGCAAAGCGGCTAGGCATCCCTGTTGCCGAACATCCAGGCACAAATATTCTGAATGAGTGAAGAGATGTTGACTGGTTTGGAGCCACTGCTCTCAAATTAGGGCCAGGCACACGTACAGTTCGAACCACTGTGGTTGTGTTAGGTGCAGCCATGGGAGTGACAGCAGCAGGCAATGCTGACATAGTTCTAGCTGATGCAAATGAAGCGACAGATACACCAGAATTAAATGCAGTTGAACTCTGAGGGATCTGCTGAACTGAGGAGAGGTTTACTGGCCTGACACTAGTAGTGTTGGTCATGCTTGTCAGTTGAGCAGGTTGTATCACAGGTAATGCTGACCCAGACAGGTTATGAGAACTTGTAGTTATCGGCCTGCTTAAAACTTGTATGCCCATCATTGGCTGCAGAGAAGCAGCTGATGCTACACTGCCCTGAGATACTGTGACAACTGATGTCAGAGGTACTGACATTGACTGTGTAGAGCTGGAAAGTGAAACCGGAGGCTGCCCTATAAAATGGGATCCAGCAACCAATGGGACTGATGGGATGGATGATGTTAACAAAGCCTTCCCTTTAGGCATTACTACAGGAACAGCTGTTCCAATTCCACCTGAAGAGACGATCTGTAGAAGTACATCTTTGCCATCCATTTTAACAACACAATATTGAGGCTGCTTTTTAATTCCACCTGCGGTAGATATCTGGGAAGAAAGTGGTGTTCCTGGCATGATGGTTTGCGTTGGGAAGCTCCCAGGGATGCCAAGAGATAGCGATGGAAAAATACTCACTGGATTCGGATGATGCACGAAAGCTCCTGATATGGTTGTGGTTGGTAAAACTGTGATATTGGTTGATGGTGGTGAAATCTGCATTGCACCAGTAGGTTTCTGTTTCATTTGCAAAGTGCTGTTTCCAGTTTTAGGAGTAGTTGTACCTGCTCTGGCATAATAATAATTTTTGGAGCCCGAGCTTACAGGCGGATAGACTATAATTTCTCTGTTCACTTCTTTATCTTTCTCATTAGGTTTTGTTTTTATCTTACTAATTTCACCACCAATTCCTGTGTCTTCCAAAACCTTGTTTCTGTCACTGCTTCCCTGTGGGGGAGCCACAAGCAATACAGTTACAGCTTTTGAAGCAACAGCCTTTGAAGTAGCAGTATTTGAATAATCTGTTTTTGATTCAGACAAAGAAGTGTGCTTCTTTTTTTTCTTGTTTTCAGCTGTGCTTTCATCTTCAGATCTAACAGCAACATCTTTGTGTTTTGAGCGGCGCTTCCTAGAAAACTCATCTAATATGTCATCTTCGGAGGGTTCAACATAGCTGATGTGTTTATCTCTCTTTCTAAGATTTCTTTTTCTTGAACTATCCACCTCATCTTCAGTTGTTTCAGGTAAAACTGTCTCTTCAAAAATATTTCTGTAAATTAGCTCACCTCCGGCGTCTTGCTTTTTCTTTTTACATTTAACAAGTCCTTGGTCACACAACTCTGAAAGGTGCTTTAACCTGGCCGACAGTGGTAAAATACTATCTGCACAATTGGAGTATTTCAGGAATTTATGCATCTGAAGCTTTTTAACAACTACAAAACATGGCGGGAATGTATTTGTTATTTTATTTTTATGTTTTACAATATTAAAATGAAGAGATTTTATTTTTGGAAGCTGCTGCATTGGTTTATGTCTTCGATTTTGGTTTTCCTTAGCTGAGAAAAATAAAGTATTTGAGATTTCTTCTGCGATCATTTCTGAATGTTTATCAAAACTGTTGCTACCCACATACCCATTTTCTAAAATCCAACTCTGAGAGTCAATGTCTTTGTTTTTTAACCCCGCAGCACATTTTTTAATGACATCCTTGTACAACAGTGATTCCTGTACAGCATTTTGTTCCGGCATTTTTGTATCGCAAATATAATCTGTTAGTGACAAAGGACTGTTACTGTTAGAAGGATACACAGTGGATAAAGAAGGTTCTGTTACTGACCTAAAACTGGTGCTTATTTTATCATTAATTTCACTTGAGGAACTATTTGACTTTACGGAATCAGAATCTTCATTTTTCTTCCTCTTTTTTTGTTTCTTTTTCTCTCTGGCAATGCTAGCAAATGGTCTCCGCATATCTTCTGAATCCGAACCGCCCCGAGAATGGCATTCACTTGATGATAAATCTGCAGAATGAACCCTTCTGGATGATTTTTCAAGAGATTCATCATTAAAAGCATCACAAGAACTGATTATCTCAAGATCAGCTTTACTGATTCTTGCTTTGGCCGCTGATTTCTTTTGTGTAGGTTCAATTTGTGAGTCTATATTGACATCTTGTTTCTTGGAGTTGGCCAGAGCTTCAACTAAAGAGTCAGTGGGAAAACGAGACAATAATCCAATAGGGCACCCATCTCCACTGGGATCGTTCAAGACATCAGTAGATGGACTCATCACCGTGTTTGTGCTTACAAATTTAGTAATATGACCAGCAGGCGGACAACCGGCACCTGCTAAGGCTTCAGTCTGTGAACCCATTTTTGTGCTTGAGAGCGTAGTAATGTGAGCAGCAAATGGGAGATTTGCACTTGTCAAAGTTTCAGTTGGCGAACTTATGACTGTGCCTGTGACATCAGTACTTTGACCAGGAGATGGACAGCTGGTACCTGCGAAGGCTTCAGTCGGTGAACCCACTCCTGAGGTTGTGAATGTCCTAATATGACCAGTAGATGCACAACTTGCACCCGCCAAGGCTCCAGTCAGTGAACTTACTACTGTGTTTGTGAGTGTGCTAATATGACCAGTAGATGGAAAACTTGCACCTGCGAAGGCTTCAGTCAGTGAACTTACTACTGTGTTTGTGAGTGTGCTTATATGACCAGTAGATGGAAAACTTGCACCTGCCAAGGCTTCAGTCGGTGAATCTACTAGTGAAGTTGTGAGTGCAGGGATATGACCAGTAGATGCACACCTGGCTTTTGTCAAGGCTTCAGTTAGTGTATCAATTCCTGTAGTGGCAGTAGTAACATGACCAGCAGAATCACAGTTTGAATTTCTCACCGTTTCAGTCGGTGTACCCATTCCTGTGGTGTTGGTGGTAGTAACGTGACAAGTAGATGCCCTACTGTAGTTTGTCCCAGTTTCAGTCGGTGTACCCATTCCTGTGGTGGTAGTAACGTGACAAGTAGATGCTCTATTATAGTTTGTCCCAGTTTCAGTCGGTGTACCCATTCCTGTGGTGGTAGTAACATGACAAGTAGATGCTCTATTATAGTTTGTCCCAGTTTCAGTCGGTGTACCCATTCCTGTGGTTGTGGAAGTAGTATTATGACCAACAGATGTACAGCCTGTAAGGATGACATCATTGGCAACAGATGCTGAAGAAGTTGGGGTTTTAGCACAGATGCCTCCATGACAACCCTCAGTATTCAGACATGCACCATCAGGCAAGAAACATCCTTCTTGCAACAGTTGCACTGCTGATTTTGGGAGAATGATATCCATAGCTTTCCTGATCTCAGGTGACAGAACTGTGTCAGAGGACTCAGCTACAATTACCTGACCTGCAGCAACTGTCACTGAGCCTGAAGCATTCATGGTGCTTGAGATGTCTGTCATCTTTGCAGGTTTTATAAAGGATATCACTGGAGTACTATGGCAACCACTGCATTTTCTCTGAGGATTCTGTATGATATGTGACTGCAGCAGACTCCATCAGGCAAACAATTCTGGCAGCTGGAGACTGGGGATGAAGGCCTTATGGGAATTTCCTGAGTGCTGTGAAACTCAATTCAACTCAACATCAGGTAAACTGATATCTGAACTCCCATGAGATTTGAGCTGTTTTCTGTTGAATAAAAAAAAAATTTTTTTAACTCTTACTGCCCACACAACACATGATATGTTACTGACTAAACATCCCATCAAGTGTTTTCTCATATTTAAGTTTTGGTCCGTGTATACTAAATAACTTTGGCAACCGCTGGGGTATACTTCATTTGTTTTTCATTCCTAAAACACAGCAACTGCAGCGTTTTCATGGCAATATGTAATAAAAAATATTATTTTTGTTTAATACTGTATGGAAGAGATAGAGTTAAAAAGGAAAAAAGTCAATTAATATGCTTGTCTCATCTGTTACTTAATATACTTTACTTAAAACATGTACTATTACAGAACAGTCTTTGTGAAACTCTGAAAACCATCAGCTTTCAGAGTGCCAGACAAAGGCTTGTCTACCAAGCCATGATAAGCTCTATTTGGAAAAACAGACTATCATACAGTTTTTCTAGCAGTCTCTAAAAAGCAGACATATCTGTTTCAATGCCATTATGACATATGATGGAACTCCGATATTCATCTATGCCAAAACTTTATCTTTGTATCTTTAAATTTTTTGTTATTTTTGCTTGATATTCACCCAAAAAGTCAATATTCGTCCTTCCTCTGACATGGCCAGCAACTCATTAATTTAAAAAAAAAATGATTATGGGCTCGTTCCAGGTCCTGAAATTAAGGAACGGTTGTCCATATGAGCAAAATGCAGGTCTTCTTTGACAAACAGCACCCAAACATAACTATAGTTAATCATCCTATCAATTCCTTTAATGGTGATGTGTTTGGAACATTAAAAAAAAACCCAGAACAAAACAAACAAAAAAGAATAACTTCTGGGGGAGGGGGGAATGGTGCTGGTGAATCATCTCGAAATGCTAATGAATCGTCAGGACATCAGAATTGACATTATCTGATGTCATAATGGAAAGTGAATTCCCTTCCAAATAGTAGCCATTGTATTTTTTTGCAATTAAAAAGGTCAACATATTTTTTAAATTGTGTGTGTGCATTTATTTAGGTATACAGCATATTTATATCATCAAGAAAAGTAAATCTCTGTTACAGTGATAAATCAATAATAAGTACCATGGTTAATATATAATTAAAATGTATGTGCAATGATTTCCGAGATCGATTTCGGGGTGAAATTTTGTTGCTGTTAAAGAATAGATAGGCAAAAAAGAGCTAGGAACAGATAAACCAGTTTAGTTACTATAGGGAAATATTGTTTCATAGTTCATTCTTTGTAATATTGTCCTCCCCGCAGGAATGTATGAATTATGAATACTGGAGTTCAACTTTATTAGGGAACTGGTGCTAAGTTTATACCTCTTGACTAAAGATCACTTAGATAGAATATGGATGACTGGTTGGGCCACAAATAAGTTAACATCAAGTCCACTGCATCTGACCGTCACAGATGGAGGGAACTGATGAAACAGTCAACAGCAACTGGTGACTCAAAGATAAGTGGTGTTATGAGACAATGATAATGATGGTTGAAGATCACTCAATGGGCTCAGTATCAGGTTGGTTACTGTACCTCCCATGGGGGGGGGGGGGGGGGGGGGGTAACGATTCTGTGAAGCTAGGCTGACCCTGTGGGTATACTACTACTTCTTCTTCATGCTCACCAGTTGTAAACTCCAGCAGAAAGTTCTTGTTGTTCATCCACCTCCAGACCTTAGTCTTGTTCTAGAACCTCAGAGTTGTGTTCACATCTGTTGATTCAAATCTAGCACATTTGTATGCAGAATATTTGTGCCTTGCCTCTCAGGCAGATGCAGTCCTACTTCAAAGGATGCCCCCAATTAGATAACTCCTATGGCATGTAAAACTCAGGTCCTGAAACAAAGCCAAAGTCTAGAAATGGATGAACAACCAAGTGAACTTTCTGCTGGGGTTTACAGTCTTTTTCTACTGCAGGGAGGTCTACATCTGTGTTGTATGGAGGAAGAAAATCAGGATGGGAACAGGGAAAGACTAGGCAATGACTGCTGAAAGGCTGACTGATGTCCCAAGAAATGCATCATGTGCAATTCGATGTTATTCATTGTACGATTCAACACGTTATGTCCGTTTTTAGATCTTTTGTTTAGTCTAACAGTGAAATTAGACAATATTAAACATGAAAGAATCTTTTTATGACGTGAATTTACACAAAAAAAAGGATTATGTCCCCCAGTGTCCGCACTTAAAATAATTTCAACTTACAATTCATTGCGTCACCTAGGGTCACCGTACGAACGAATGCCAAGTCTTGTTGCAAATAATATTTCAACCCTCTTATGATTTATTATTATATTATACATTGTAAATTATTACTGAGAAGGTGAACAAAAGAAAATGAATGTTGTTAATATTAATGTTACTAGCAAGTACCAGAATTACTAATTACTTCTTTGGTGTCACAATCATTAAATTAAGTGATATATGTTACCATAAGAATAAGGTGCCACCCTGAATATTCGTGGTTTATAAATTATTTGTATTTTATTTACTCGATAAAACCTAGTAAATGTGATTATTACTAATTTTTTTAGACTGGAGATGGATACCAATGAAAGAATGTTCAGTCACCCACATTTACATCCAAAGGACTGTTTCAGACAGTACCCTACTATGCTAAGCAACACTGAAATCATTGCAGCTATAGACTGTATATAACTGTACAAAGTAAATATAGTGTGTGCAATGGCATAATGGCAAATTTTTGTGCAATTTTGTTCTTTGAAATTATACTTAATTAAAACTTAGAGCCTCTGAGTGCTAAACTAACCCAGAAACTTATCATAACTTTCAGTTTTCACTGCTCCGGTGGCTGCAAAAATTTATTTGGTTAAATCTTGTTTTTGTAAACTTAACACCTAATGAATTTTTCTTTCCTACTAACTATAAAAACAGCATTAAACATACATATTTTAGTTATTTCTCTCTTTTGTTTTTAAATTTACTTTTGTAGGGATTATAAATATATAACATTGTCAGTTGGGTTCTCCTTGCAATAACGGTCGCTACTTGGACGGCGTCGGCCGCTTAGTCGGAGTTCAGTCCCCTGGCTGCAGTGCAATTACGGAGTGGACAAGGCACGAATCACAAAACAAAGATATAGCGGCCATCATTATGGGTAAGTACTCGACGTTACATGTGTTACCCTAACCCAAACCCTAATTATGTCATTTGTTTCGTTGCCCCTTTTCCACTCCGTAATTGCACTGCAGCCAGGGGACTGAACTCCGACGAAGCGGCTGTCGCCGCCGTCCAACTAGCGACCGTTATTGCAAGGAGAGCCGTCAATTGCCTTTACTTTACACCACCCCATCTCATCTCTGCCATTTTTGTAAAGGAAAATTATTGTGAGTCAAGTCAGTCAAAATGCATTTAAGATTTTATCGGGTTTTTTAAAAAGTGATTTATTAAAAAGTTTCATTTTAACTAGCATTAGTGAATGAAATATCATCTTCTCAAAGTGTTTAGTTTAGTGTTGTCACTGTGAAGCCAGGACTCAACCATCAACTAGTCAAGCTATTTGCTAAGAATTGACATCACAGTGACATTTTCATAAGTGCCCCGTCCTCCTCTTCAGTCTTCAGCAGCCAGCAAATATTTATAGTTCTAATCAAATTGAAATTTATTTGGATGGTGCCAGTAGGAGGAGTATGACTATAATTATTTACGTTCGTCTAGCCTTTTCTCCTAGT